AAGTTAGGCGCAAAGTTGTCCCATCCCCTGAATATCTTGGACGTCCTCCTCAACCAATTCTGGACCATGGGCAGAAGAAGATGGTTGACGCAGTACAATCCAAAGGTTGGGCCAGGAACATTGAGGGTGTCCCTCAACAGATGGAACAATGTCTCCAAGGTGTGCGGTTGGTAACGCTTAGGGCAGATCATGGTGGCGCTCGCCAGACCCTCGATCAGGATGTACCAAACTCTGAGTATACCGCTGGGCTTGTCCATGCTTTGCAGAGTGGTGATCGCGTGAACGTTGTCCATCAAGACGTCGTGCGGCCTTTCGGGTATCGTCTCCTGCATCGTTTCCGCGTGTTTGTCGAATCTGATCAATTCCGAGTTCGGTATGGTCGGATCGACGTATTGCGGTATGGTCGAGACCTGGATCCTCTGTGCCGAGTGGAAGATGGGGCAGGCCGGCATACCGTACATTGAGGCGAGGATGTCGCTACAGCTGAGAAGATACTTGAGACTCTCCACGCACAGTCTCATCCTACGGGATTCGATCGCGTCTATCTGTTCCTGCTCGTCCTGGTGGCCGTCCGCGTCCCCGATCCCGCGCACGTGCTTCAACAGGCACAGGATGCAATCTAGCGCCGCGTTCGCGAACACGAGCGTGTTGTCCGTTGATAGAAACACCCTGAACACCTCGAGGAGGGGGGCGGACTCGACGGAATCTGAATTGCCGACCGAAGCTACGCGTAGCGCGCCGAACAGAGGCCGCCACCCGGATCGTATCTCGGTCCTGTTCGTCTCCACGAACTCGCAGATGCAGCTGACGATCTGGAAGGGATTGGCAACCGCTTTTTGGATCGATTCCAAGTTGGACGAGACCGATTCCGCTCAACTCACTTGATCTTGAACGTCGCTGTCGCAAAGTTCCAGGCACAATAGGTTCTCGAAAGGTTTGAACAGTGCCTCGTTGAAGTGGAAGTGGGGTAATTCCATTTGCTCGTTCAACAAAGCCGCCATCGAGTCGTGAATGCATTGCACCGCCTTCTTCGAGATGCCACGATCCTTGTGGCAAGCTGCCTCCATGAAGTGCGGGCCCAGGATACTCCAAACCTGAAAGATTTCCAAGATTCAATCCTTCCACTTCTCGAGAGAACTCGAAAGGGGGACTCGTCTCTCTCTCTTTCTCTCTCTCTCGCTTTCTCTCTCTCTCTCACCCTCATTATATGGATCAGAGGCCTTCCACTCTTCACACACTTCAACATCACTTCCCCTAATCGAGCCAGAAGAAGCACGTTCATTTCGTTCTCTCTCGGCTTACTCCTTCTCCACCAGAATCTCTTATTGTCTTTGGATCCGTCCGTGGTCTTGAACAACTGGGCTTTGCTGGCCTTGCACAGAGCGGTGAGGAACAAGCACAACGCTTTAAGGTTTAATTTCAACGCCGCGTTCTCGAACAATCTGTCCACTTGTTGGGATAAAACGCAGATGATCTTCGCCGCGTAGTCGGCGGGAAGAATCCCGTTGAATTGACCGTCCGCGTTCGATTCTTGAATTATTTCTGGAATCGTGTCCGTACTAGAATTGTGGGTATACGGACTGGATAGGAAACTGTACACGTCCACGCTGAAACAATTTTAATTTTAATTTTTAATTCTTTTTTTTTTTAACAATAAATCATTCTACCTATCTACGTAAGTATTCATTTTTGTGACGTTTTACCAAGTCTCCTCTTCCTCGATTATGTTGAAGTTAAGCTTCAATCTATCCTGACTCCCTTTCGGATCCCCGCTCGAATTCTCCTTCTTATCCTTCTTCTGCTGAGTCTTGGGCAACGATGGATTTTGATTTCTCCCGAAGAAGTCGTGTTCCAATTTGCTCACGTACAGACAACACCTTTTTTTAAAGAAAAAAAAAAAGAAAACATAGAATTGTTATCAATTTATTAATTCATCGAGAAGATGATCCCGACGAAAATCGATAAAAATGTCATACGTGAAAACGTGAGGCCAGCAATCGCTACCGTGACTTCCGAGCTCTAAACCTTTGCCCAAAAGTACGTCCATGCTCAACGCGTGCGACGTGTGAATATTGGTCGCTCTGTTTTGCAATTTCAACCGCAGAACATCCTTCGTTCTGGTGATTTTCGAGATGGATTGCTCCGTGCAGGCCGCTTTCACGAGCAAAGCGAATATGGAACCGCATCGATTCTGCAAACCTGAATAAGACCAAGGAAAAAAAAAAAAAAAAGAAAAATTAATCAAATCGAAAAGATAGAGATCCTGATAAATAATACCGAGTATATTGCTGAGAATCGCGGCCTTGTGAAGACCTTCCAAGGACAAGATCACGGTATCTCTGACGCCCCGTCTACCACCGTCTCTGCTAAGAATCCCCTTGTTATTCTGCTCCTTGGGAGGATTCAATCCCGTCGTCAAAACTGTCATCATACTTCCCCAACAGCAAGTCAATACTCTTCTCGACAACTTGGCCCCCGCTTCCGCCTCCGGCGTTGGCTCGCTTCGAGACAACTGAGCTTTCTCCAGTCTTATGTAGTCGGACAAAAGCTGCCCGCCTCTCTGACTCCCAGGAATCCCATCGACATCTTATGAAAAAAAAAAAAAAAAGATTCTTCTATTATCCGAATCCTTGGACTGTCCATTTATTATTGGAGAATTCGCTTACCGGTTAACACGTTTATCAGGGCGCTATTCTCCGTGTAGTGCGGGTTGTAACCGCACTTTTCGAGCAGATTACAGGCCAAAACTTGTTGATACAGCTCGGACAACCAGGTCGCCGAAAGGTATACCAAAACTCCAGATCCGTGTACCTCCTCTACGAATTGCTCCTAAAAAAAGAGAGAGAGAGAGAAAAGTGAAGAGAAAAGTGAATACAAATGGGGAATAATGGTCGATGGATACCTCGCTGATAGGAACTTGACGATTATCCTCGTGATAATAATTGATCCTGATCAACTTGAGGTTGAGCAGCAGAGCCGCGTAAGTGGCGAGATAAATCCCATCGGCGTTCATTATCGTGATAAGGGCGCACGAGTCGGTGCTTGTGTCCGTCTGTTCCTGCATCTTCTGCTGGGCTGTGAAAACACCTGTGAAAATTCGGGGGCAAGTTTCTTCATCTCCCGGAAGGAAGGAAGGAAACGAGGGGAAAAGTTTCAAAATATCTCTGAGGCCAACTCGAGAACAATCGTACCCTGGCAATATTCCGAGGCAAAGTTCTGAAGGGCCTCGTCGACCTCTATGTTGCTTCTGAGCAACAGCACCATGGGTATGAGATCGCTCTTCAACGTCCTCACGAATTTTCTCGCGTTGTGCCTTTCCATGTCCACGTTGCACTCGTCGGCCACCTGACGGCCCACGTGAAGACACTTCGGCAGCTTCTCCAACCTCAATCTCTCCCTCTCGTTCTCTATCGCGTAGTCGTTGTCCTCCAAACTGTTCTCCTCTTGAATCTCGTCCGACTCGTTCTGAGGGCCCTCCGTATCCGTCGAGTCGCCATCCTCGGACGGGCCGTGACCCGACGAATCCGAGTCAGACCCTATCCCCTTTTTCATCAGCTCCAATTGCTCCCTGAAATAAGTATCGAGCACTATTCTATTCCATTTATTTATTTATTACTATTTTAGTTTACTCTAGGTAGGATTGTACAATTTCATCAGCTTCAATTGCTCCCTGAAATAAGTATCGAGCACTATTCTATTCCATTTATTTATTTATTATTATACTATTTATTATTATATTATTATTATATTATTATTTATTATTATACTATATTACTATTTTAGTTTACTCTAGGTAGGATTGTACAATTTTATCAGCTCCAATTGCTCCCTGAAATAAGTATCGAGTATTCTATTCCATTTATTTATTTATTATTTATTATTTATTTATTTATATTTTAGTTTANAGAATTTTAAAATTTCATCAGCTCCAATTGCTTTCTGAAATAAGTATCGAGCACTATTCCATTTATTTATTTATTACTATTTTAGTTTACTCTAGAATTGTAAAATTTCGTCAGCTCCAATTGCTCTCTGAAATAAGTATCCAGCACTATTCTATTCCATTTATTTATTTATTACTAATTTAGTTTACTCTAGATAGGATTATACAATTTCATCAGCTCCCTGAAATAAGTATCGAGTATTCTACTCTATTCCATTTATTTATTTATTACTATTTTAGTTTACTCTAGATAGGATTGTAAAATTTCATCAGCTCCAATTGCTCTCTGAATTATCGAGCACTATTCTATTCCATTTATTTATTTATTACTACTTTTAGTTTACTCTAGAATTGTAAAATTTCATCAGCTCCAATAGCTCCCTGAATTATCGAGCACTATTCTATTCCATTTATTTATTTATTCCTATTTTAGTTTACTCTAGATAGGATTGTACAATTACCTGTAGGTTTTCGGCAACCGTGCCATACTCTGGTAGGTCAAGGGACCTTTATAGTCGCAAGACTCCAGATCCTCGTACAAACTATTGATCGTGCAGGTGTAGGTGTGATTAATGGCCTTCCCCTCGCACAATTCCTGAAGGGCGGAGAGCATCGCGACGACGCACGACACGCTGGCGTGCAACGTGCTCAAACCGCCATTCGTCGACTCCTCGATCGAGTCCATCGCTCTGCCGGGAAATCGTTCACCTCATCCCCCTCCTTCCTTTTATTACTTGCAAAATTAAAAACTGATATTGTCCTTACAATCTCATCAGAGCCATGTCGCTCTGAATGTGGCTGGATTTGTCCTCCTCAACGAGCAAGGGGCCGGCAAAGTCCACCATTCGGCTCGGGCTTCGTAAAAGTTCCTTCAAAGCTTTCAGAGGTTCTAAACGTTGCTGGGGCGGAGGATAGAGCAGCATTCTGTGGAACACTGATTCTAGGACAGGGCGAAGGGGGCCCACGCATCCTACCAATCGGACCAACTCCGTCCCGATACTGTCGAGAGAAAAGAAAGAAAGAAAGAAAGAAAGAAAGGAGAGAAATCGAATTTCGAAAATCGATCATTGAAAATTAATCCCACCTGTAAACAGTCTTGGCCTGGTGGCTGTCGAAACTCAAAGACGTTGCCAAGTATCCGGATCCTCTCCCGATCTCGTTCTCCTTCCCCTCCCTCGAGGTGAAGGTCTTGTCGACCCTAGGCGTGCCCAGGAAAGCTATCAACGCGGGGCAAAACTTTTGCCATAGAAAGGTGGTGAAATGTCCGTTCGTGTGTATTTTCTGCGGCAGGGACGAGATTAAAGTGTGAAGACACTCCAACAGGAACACAACCGTGTTCCCGTTCCTTCCGTTGCTGGGATAAGATTTTCTAAAGTTACGTTTTTTTTTTTTTTTTTTTTTAAGGAAAGATTTATATTATTTTTTTTTTTTTCCTCGATTCTTACTTTTGAGCCTCGTCCAACTTGCTACAGATATATTGAAGTATTGGTAGAGCTTCGTTGAAACAGGACACACCTCTTTCCCACAAGTTTTTATTCTTCTTCGCGTTCTCGTCCATCTCCTGGCATTCCTCGTCTGGTGAACAAAAATTCGCGAAAGTTTTCTTTTTTTCTCTCTCTTTTTAACTTTTAAGGGACGATTCGAGTTAATCTGTTTTACGAAGAATTTGATTCGTGGTCACGCGAGTCCTAAGATTTATCGATCAAACTTTCGTTCCCATGAATTCCGTGACGGTGACGATAATCACGGAAATTGCAGCACGTGGAATGATAACGAGGACGATGAAAGGAATTACCTACCTAGGAACAAGCAAAACGATCTCAACGTTTGACTGGTTGCAGCTTGAGCCGCGGTCCTCACAGCTTGATTCCCATTTTCGAAAGCCTCGCAGCAGGTAGTGAGAATGGCGATTATTAAACGACCGTTCATTGTCCAATAAGAAGAGCAGGCGACTTGTAACAGAACCTGAAAAAGATCGGAAAGAAAAGGTGGAACTCGAATTTCGAGGGAATTTTTCTTTTTTTTTTTTTAATTTCGAATTAAACGCTCACTTTCAGCATGTCCGTCTGAGTGTCGTCCGATTGTGATAACATGGAACTCATCGCGTGCAACATTTGTGCGGGTAGCCAGAGAGAATCGTCTTCTGGCTCGTACGGCGACTGGAATCTGTCGTCCCTTAACATTTTCTGAATTCAAAAAAAAAAAGAAAAAAACGAATCGTGTACAGATAATTCATCTGTGGACGAGCAATATAGCGAATATCTTTTTATTTTGAAAATTGATCGTTCGAGATCGGAGAGGAATAAACGAATAAGAGTATTGATTTTGGGATACGCGGGCATAGACACGTCAGAATCTTGGTTTACAACCGGTCGTTGTCACAACCGTGTCGTCGATATCAATTCGTTCTTATCGCTTGCCAACAGCGGATGTGACAATTTACATGTACGCGATACCAAAGTAGCGCAATACGGGTAGGGAAAGAAGAAGAAAAAAAAAGGGAAAAAGAATATTGGATGAAACGCTCACGTGTAATCCCGACAGGCCAAAAGCAACGAATTTGCTCCTCTTCGTCTCTAATGCTAGCTGAAAGGCGTGTAGACATTTTGCTCGCAGCTCGTGGGGTGGATCGCGTAACAACCCTTGCTGTTTGTCCAGGAAGTCTGCACAAACGTGTAAATTCGGGAAATAAAATATCTTTCGAATTACGAGTTATGTATTAAAAGTAAAAGTAAGTTTATCATTGTTTCTTAACAGTAGAAATAATTATAATTGATTCGAATTAATGGAAGTGGTGGGTGGTAATAAATTAATGGAGGAGCGTAACAATCCAAAGTGTTATTCGAACGAAAATGGGACAAGTGTGAAAGTTGGATGGAACAAAAAGCGTGGAATAAAGAATAAGGAATGTTTTGAATCGACTCACCGTACGCTTCCTGCGCTGATTTCCGCAAATTTTGTAATTTTGCATTGCTCGATTCTCGGACGATCTGCAGCAGGAGATCCTCCATGTCACGGTGGACTAACACGCGACTGATCGATAACGGGAGTGCACGCTTGGCTGTACGCGCGCATCCAGGGCCGTAGAAACTGTTTCGGAGTCAAATTTATTTCTCTCTTATTGAGGATTAATTTCGGCTATTCGAATTCTCAGTATTTTTTTTTTTTAGCATGCAACGATAATTCAACGATTGTCAAAATTCACAATTTTTTTTTTTTTGAAAAATAAATTACACTTGTACGCGTGAAATTGTTGGTACGATTATCGAGATATATTTTATAAATGAATGGTGTTTACATGCGACACTTACCATCGTCATTTTATAATCTTTTTAAAAAGTTGACATAAAATTTCATGTTTTCATATGTAACCTTTTTCACGAAAAAAATCAATCAAATTCAAATAGATTTTTCGATTGATCGAAAAGTGAATTTTCAAATCGCACGAATGATGGCGCGCGAATAGCTGCGATCACGTGACTGCTTCACTTGGCTTCCAAAGATGGCGGCGGAAAGTGACAAGAAGCATAAAAGTGTCGAAAAATTGTGCCGTAAACGAGTGACTTTCTACGAATTAGCTGTGGATCTCATAGGTACAAGCCTCCTCGCGAAAGAAGAAGGCTAATTGTGTGGTTTCCTGTCAGTGTTATCATAAAATCATCTCGTCTCCCGTGACAGGTTTGGCATTTGGCTTGTTTCATCATTGGCATGTGTCTACGCTATTCGAAAATGACCGGCATTTCTCGCATCTGTCCGAAATCGAGAGAGAAATGTCTTTTCGCACGGAAATGGTACGAGTTTCGAATGATATCGACAAATTGACGAAATATTCGTGGAGATAACCAGGTATGTTTTGTTTATTTTCTGTTCAGGGGATGTATTACTCTTATTACAAGACGATCGCGGAATCGAAAACATTTATGGACGGGCTGAGAAAAATTAGCCACGATAATATTTCGGAATATGGGAACGTTATCAACGCGGCTAGAAAATATAGCTTGCTACCAGAGGTATTGTATTGTATGACGAATATTGGTTACTTTGGTTAGGTTATTGGACAACAAACATTGAAATGTATAAGATAGAATTGATCATTTACAGTTAGTGGCTGGATATCTTTATCATTGTGCCAAGAATTTGGGGCTTATATCTATAGAGCAGTGTTGGCAAGTGAGATTCATTTTCGTTAGATTTGTATACAGAGTCAAATTTTATTTGATATTTATTCAAGGATCTTTATAGATCTTACAGACTCTGTATGCATAAAGCAATGCAATGTGAGTATCACTTCTTATGGGAGAACTAGAAAAGAATCACTTTCAGATAGAAAGAGGAGAAGGTTTGTCACCGGTAACCAGTTGCGAGGGTCTAGGCGTCCCAGTTTATTTTTATTTGGAAATTGTTTGGACTTCCACTATACTTACAGTAGCTATACTATTCTATTATGCCACTTTCCTTGGCAATAGCCTGTACAGTGGATTCATAGCAGTGCTTCTCTTCTTTTATAACCATAATGAATGTACTCGTGTTCAATGGTCTCCACCATTGAGAGAAAGTTTCGCGTACCCTGTTTTACTATGTCAAATGTATACGTTGACTCTGATTCTTAGAGAGGGTACTCAACAGAACACGCAAAAAATACCAAAAGACTTACTTCAGGTGTGTTGAGACATATGATGATCAAATAGATTGGAATATTTTTGCACAAAGTAACAAGAAATTTCATTCTTTCAGAAAATGGGCATGGCAACGATAGTTAGCTTATGTTGTTGGCAATTCTCGCATTTCGTATTCATCACGCAAATCGTTGCCCTCTTAATATTAAAATGGATGAAAATAATTTCCAACGATCTTTACAGATCTATCTCTAAAGTTCACGGTTGGTCCATCGTGATAGCAATGGGTATCACCGACAGTTTCCCCTTGCTTTTCTCTATGTACTTGTGTCTTTTGTTCGTTAGCAACGCTTTAAACGTAACAGAGAAATTGACCAAATTTATCGGCACAAAACTACAAACGATCCTCGAAATAGTTTTCACCATCTTGTGTACAGTGTACTTAAAATCGATCTACGCCTTGTTATACGAAGACACGGCGCACGTGTTCAATTTACTTAAAACGAAACTGATCGGTTATAAAGATTTTCACACGATGCTGTACACGTGCTCCCCAGAATTCGATTTCCTTCAATACAGAAGCTACGAGGCGATAATAAAAACGTTACTTCTACCGTCTGCCATTCTCGCCGGAATGCTGGTGATCTATTTTTGGTACAGGAATTACAAAATCAAAGGGTATCCTAAATGCATAGAAGCGGATCTGGCGTACAACGGACTGCAGACCGGAGCCTTCATTATCATGGCGGTTTTTATCATGAGATTGAAACTGTTTATGAATCCTCATCTATGCATAATAGCCGGCACGATATGCGCGAACAGATATCTGGAGAAACTTGGTATAAAGAGAAAGATAACCAAGACTGCCATTATAGTTCTATTGATATCCGCGATATCTTACCACGGATTAGAAATACTGCAGGAAGAGCGAAGCGTTATGGGTAACTATATATTATAGTAAAGAGAAAAAAGAAAGAAAAAAATTCAGTATTAAATAAACTTTATCGTTTATCGTTTGATCTTTTTCATCGTGGTAATCAAGGTGAATACAGCGACATCGAGCAAGAGGAACTATTCGAATGGATCAAGAAGAATACACCTGAACACGCTGTGTTTGCCGGGAAGATGTCTTTGATGGCAAATTTAATGCTCTCCACGGGAAGGCCGATCGTCAATAACCCTTACTACGAGAGCAAAGAGATGAGGTGCATAAGCTTGCTATTCCCCGGATCGTAACGTCGTATAGATATCAATTTTGATATTTATTATCCTTCTGGTTTACGTTTCCAGAGATCGGACTATGAAAGTTTACGAGGTCTTCAGCAGAAAAGACGTCACATCCGTATACGTCACGCTCAGGAATTTGCAGGTCGGATACGTCATTCTAGAGGCATCGATGTGCTTTGGCTACGCAAATTTGTAATGAAATATTTTAGTAAATTGATGAAATTAATACATAATATTTTTTTAAACGTTGCACACAGATTAGAATTTTGAGTTTCAGGCCATCGCAATGCCAAATGATCGACTTGTGGGACCTTGTAGACAACGGAGTGGCGAAGGCTGCTGGAAAACAACCCGTGTGCCCAATGCTGTTTCGAGGAAACGCTTACCCTTTCAAACGATCGTTCGTAAATAATCGTTACGTTGTTCTGCAGCTTGATTATTCTTACTGCGTGGAATTGAAACCGAACAATTCCCTTAATTACCAATCTTGAGCGGTAATTGTGATCGAATATGACAAATACCTCGCCGAAATTGCAGAGAATATTTTTTCCAAAAGAGAGGCAATTATGTATAATACTTATATATATATATATATATTTTTTTTTTAAGAACAATGACTCGTTGAGATGAGCCAAAGTAATTTTGTTAAAAAAAGTTAGAAGTAAAATGCGAATAAAAATGTTAACTACGTTCCTGTAATATGTCCATATCTTCGTTTTCCTGTGTCTTTCCGCATCTTGGCACGCTTCGTCGAGAAGCAATGCGATTCAACTTCAAAGTCCTGCCTTTACGTAAGACGAAACGTTTTTGCTTTATATAACTTGGCACGAATAAAGGAGCCGCAACAAGAACACTGCGTCTCTCGTAGAATGATAATAGCACCGTCTATATTACGGTAAAATTTGTCTTTTTCTTTTTTCTTTCTTTTTTTTTTTTTTTTTTTTTTTTCTTTCCATGAAAGTTGATCGAATTTCACGGGACAGTTATTAGCGCGAGAAACGACGAGGAGCGTCACGGGATCGCAAGAAGAATCGAACCACGCCGCGAAGATAGCTCCGTTATAGTACAACACACGGCACTGCACCTTCACTTCGCCGTGTAACAGATAGTATAGTCTTGCCTTCGCTATACTACGTTGTGCTGCTGACCCAAATGAATCCAATGGCCAGTCAGTCCTGGTCCGGGCTTCTTCGCGGCAATATTGCTCGCTCGATCACAGCTGGCATCGTGTAAAACGCTTTCGTCCTTTCGTTACAGGTTAAACGACACTTGCAAAAAATACCAATTTACCAGCAATACATGTGCATTCGGCAATCGGTCGTGGATTTCGTGGTAAAAATTCGCGATTTAATCGAAATACCTCGGTGCCCATATTGCAGCGTGGTCCCGGTGATCCAGTGAAATTATAAGGGTACCCTAAACAGTGAAAGTAGCGAACCAATTAATTATATACCAAAGACGGTGATTGTCCTGGCCGGTTTCTTTTTTTCACGAGAAATGGTCCACAGCGTTTGGACTATACGTGTCGTCAAAAATCGATAATCGGTGTACCGATTAAATTTACATTTTGGCGGGAATTTTTTTCTCATTGTTACCTTTTTCTCCTTTTATTTTTCTTTCTTTCTTTTTTTTTTTTTTTCCTTCTTCCTTTTTTCCCTTTAAATTGGATACTCGAGAATTTTTGTTCTAGTGTAAGTTTTATCGAAAAGTGTAACGGGGAAGTATCGTTTCCTGGATTAGAAGTGATCATCAATCTGTAAACACGTTGTGAAATCTTTGATATAATCGTGACGCGGTAGCTGGACCAGAACAGAGGAGGCTGAGGATGCCAGAGGCGGAAGCAAAAACGTAGAAATCGCGTCGCACCGGCTACGAGGATCCGATTGATCGAGATCACGCGCATCCGCAGGCTCTGAATAGCGATGCGGTTGCATTCCACGGCAACGATAGTTCCGCATAATCATTGACACTCTGCAGTGAGTATCCAATCATTTTCTCCTTCTTTTCTTTTCGTTTCTTAAATCCTAATTGTTATTCTTTTCTTTCTTCTTTTTTTTTTTTTTTTTTTTTTTTTTGATTATATATCGCCAACGACGGAAACGATTTTGTGGGATATCAAGGACATCTCCGCCTCGCGTCCTTGCGTCAGCTTATGAACGGTGCATTAATTCGCTCAATGAGCATAACAATGTAAATGCAGTCCTCAATCGGATACGCTGACCCCGGTATCATAATTTCGAAATTATCCTCGTTCCACGGACAACTTGTTACCCGATCCCTTATCCCGGAATTTTGATTGTGCAGGATATTGCACTTTAGTTTTTATCTTAGATCTTAGTCCCCCTCCCCATTCATCACTTGACTCGAGGACATTTGAATTTGTAGTTCGAAAATAAATTTAACTCGCCAGTAGATGTACAATAACAAGGAAGTAAATTAGCTCGTATTACGTAGGAGAAACAAGTTTTTCTTACGGTTACAATCCTACGCAGAATGTTAAAATAGCTCGTTAAAAATTATTCCTACGTTTCAATTTTTACTATCAATCCATCATTATTATAAATACATATGTATATTGAGACATAAAATCGTCCATCATTGCCGACATAAAAAAAAAAAGTACTGCTGTTGATCTTGAAAAAAGCGAAGTTTCATCGTTTTTTTTTTTTTTTATTTGAACGATCGACACGTAAAGCGCTCGTACGAGGAAAAGAAATCGGATGCATAAGGGAACGGGTAAGAGAGAAGAGGATTCCTAGTTGGCGAAATAGCCGTTCGTTCCCTGACCTCGAAACAACGCGGAACATAGACAGGTTGGCTGCGTTTGGCCGAGGAATTTGGCACGCACATACTACGCTCGACGATGGTTCGAGCCCGTAAAAGAAAAAAAAAGAAAGAAATAACGATGCATCGAAGCCGTACAGAGGCCGTCCTGAATCTTGGGAGACCGAGTCACGTATTACGAACTTATAATATGATCGTTGATGGAAACCGGCCGCGCCTAATCTTCGCCGACGATACGACAGATCTCGGCACACGGTTACTTTCTCGCCGGTATTCGTAACCCACTTTTCAACCGCGATGCAGTCATCCCGGTATACCGGTGCCAACTACTCGAATTAGAAGGATCTAATTCGCTCGAAGAATTATCTCGAATCTCCTCGATCCCAGCCTAGCCAGCCGCCATTTTATTACCTCTCAATTTTGGTAGCGCTATACTACAATATTTTCCCTTCTGACGAGATTCTCTCCAAAAAGTTTGGGAGAATCTACTCCGCCGCGCTTTAACTATTCGTTCTTTCGAAATTCTTCTCGAGTTGGAACCAGTTTCTCACTCCATTTGGCTACCAAATTCAGAGATACAGAGATGCGCGTATCGAGTGCGCGCCGATCAAGCCGTACTCTAACCTCTCTTCTCGTCTTACCAGTGGAAATACTTTGGAGAAGGATGGGACGCACAACAGATCGTGAGAAACGATTTCAAGGTGGAGGCCACGCAGTCATTTCCAAGCAGAAGAGAAGAGACAGACGTGTTCCTTCCGCGATAAAGATAAAGAAGCGTAGAGGAAAGCACCGCGTGGAAGAGTGGGCGACAGACAGTTTCACATGACCGAGTTAGAGCATCCAGTTTTGCCGGGAGACACGATATATATATACACACACTCGTCACTCGCTAAATATCGTTTTCACGTAGGCCGGTTGATTGCTCGACAGAGAAACCCTAATTGGCCAGAGGTCACAATCATGAAACGTAATTTCATCCTACTAAAAGGTAATTGCCGGGAATTGCCGTTCCCTTCGCTTCGCCGATATTCGATTCGTATATCTTGTGCGCATTTCGAATTCAATCACGAACGGTAACATCGAAAATAAATTGCGCGATTCCAAAGCAAGCTTTCGAAAAGTTTAAAAAAGTTTCGATCGAGAGTAGGGAACACGCAAAAGTTTCTCGATGATATTCCGTTCAGAACAGAGAAAATAGATGATTTATTATAAAATAGATGAGAAAGAAACATAATAGGAAAATACGTTAGAGGAATTTATTCTTGATCCAGGTTAACATGCAGCTTTTTTATGATGTTTTCAAAGCTTGGTAACCCGACGGTGTATTTTAACACCTGTCACGATCAGATGAAATTGATAGGAGTCTTCGGCCAACTATCGCGTGATTTAAATTTATCGCACGTTTTATTGCCAAGCTTTAGGAACTCTAACGAATCTCGACTACTTTTACATCTCGTAAATTCTGCTAATTTTTAAGATGGATGGATGAATAGATTTCTTAGAGAGGAGTTTAGTCTCGTTAAGATTAATTTCTTCTTGGATCGGAATAAGGTCAAACTAGGCGGACGTCTTCCTCTCATGATCTCATATGGCTTCATGGACGACGTTGAGCGTTTTTTTTCTGACCTTGCTCGATACTACACCTCCCAGCATTCCTGCCTAATCGAACGACACACCTCTCACTGCCGCGTCCGTGTCTCGTGCACCGTCTCTTTCACACACACCACACATACACACACATACACATAGGTCTCGGTTAGAAACGTGTTTCCTTCAATCGTGTGCGTCTTGATCCACGTGATTACGAAGGCGCTCGCGTTTAAATCTACGTTACGTTTTCGATGCGTGTTTTCTTCCTCGATGTTTGAATTTTTTTAAAAGAGAAGGAATTCGGGTTACGAATTCGGGTCGTTTTTATAAACTGGTCTTTTCAGTCTCGAGGAATTTTTTTTTTTTCTTTTCAGGAAAAGAATTCGAGTCCTTTTAACTCGTGTTACGAAAGGAACTCTTCCTCTCCTAGGAGAACTTTAAAGTCGAAGTTTCTGAAGAAAAGAAGAGAAGATAGGAATTCGGAAAGAGTGGAAAGAAATTTTTGAATTAATCTCGCGACACCTGTCCAAATTCTCGCGAAAGTAAATTCTTTTTACGACCAATTATCATACAGCAGCGCGCATTTTTGCGGACTTTCTTCGGTGTAACCTACTTCCGGCAGAAACGGGAGGAGGAAGAATGACGTTCACACCGGGCAAAAGAAGCCCGAAGTATAATAGAGACAAGATCTTCCGAGACTGGTTTCCTCGAACGACATTGTTATCAGTGGAAGTAAAATTAACCTGGTTTCCGTGACTTTTTCCACTTGGAATCTAATTTCACTTCGGTCAGCACAAATGTCACTTTGGAACAATACCAATAGCAAAAGATCATCGCGAGAAAGAATTATTAAAAAAACGTTCTTCCTCCCGTATTTTCGTTTATATATATCTCGCGAGAGTTATCGTATTTCCTCAAAGTTTTCACCTACCTGGTTACATTTATTCAATTACTTGCGCAACCAACTCGCATCGGAGGAGATTATCGCACAGAAATTTTTCCGCCTTTTTTCGTAATAAACATTTCAATAAAACATTCCACAATGGAAACGTAACGAGCGTATTCCGCGGGGAGAACTTGAACGTTGAATTTTCATGTTGACGCGTGAAAGTGTAACGCGTAAGCGATTCGGAAGAAGGGGGGAAAAGAAAAAAGATAAAGTTCCGAGTCGAGTCGGAAGAGATATACATCGAAGAATACGTATTTATTAATTTTCGATCGACGATGCCGCTCGAGATAAGGAGCAAGTAACGAGAAAGTAAGAAAAATTTCGCGATCTTTCTTTTTTTTTTTTTAGAAACTTCCGCGACCCCCGCTGTTAAAATTCTCTCCTAGTCGGAAAGAAATTGCCTTCGAAGAGGCGAACTGCTGGCTACCACCACCACTGGCCGACAAGTGGGCAGAGAAATTTTCCTCGCCGTGGCGCAATGTAATGAAAATTTGTTAACCTCCGTGTATATAAAAAGTTTAATAACCCCTGGTCGCAGAAAAATCGAGGGAAATTTATGTGAAATTTAATCCGCGCTCGCTGTTTTCTTTCTAGAAATAGAATTACGCAAGTTTGAAATCGTTACCGTGTACATTACTACGATATTTTCTTTAATCAATTCAATTTATCCCATCCTGAAAACCGTAACAATCGTGCAGAATATTTCTCCACGAAGTGAAAATTTTGAATGAATGGTCGTAACCGATGTTTCGTCTCGATTCCAACGATAAATTAGACCACGGCCGAGGAATAGAAAGTTGCAGAGCGATCGAAAGGTGCAGGCGAAAGAAGCGACCAGAAACAGGGTCCGGTGGTTGGATATATATACATATATACATATACATATATATATATATATATATATATATATATATAGCCATAGAACAAACAAGGAAGAAGAATCGCGATGTCTCCTTCGTTCCCTCCATCGTGTTGACATTTTAACAAAACCGAGACTTCCTCCTTCCCGCGGTAATAACTTCGTTGATTAACAATCATTCCCGCCATTCTTCTTCCTCCGTCTCCGAGGATGTAATAATTCGACGCGCACAACGCTAATTGCCGCGAGCTTTCATCGAGATTAAGACATCGCCACTCTCACTCACGGCCACCGAGAATCATTCCTTTGATGCGCGCCTCGCCCCTCCTTCCATCCTCCCGTAATTTCCCTCGCATTTTCTTTTCCTCCTTTTGTTCCCTTTATCCCCCTCGTCTTCGATTCGAGCTCGTGTCACTCTCCGTCCCGACCCCGAGCGCCATCTCTCTTTCTCTCTCTCTCTCTCTCTTTGCCCTGCTAAAGTGGGACAGACGGAACGTATTATATTTCAACGAATACCGTCCGTTTTACCGCTCGTAAAATTTCGTTCCCGTCGCCACCTTCTGGAATGAAAGACGAACCATTTGATCGAACGTGTCGAAGCGATTTCACGGGCCTCGTGAAAAATTCTCGACGCCACTTTCCCCGCACGATCGAGGCGGAGGAAGGATCCAAAAACACCAAAGCTGTTCCGCTTCACTTTCCATTTAACCACCGCAAATCTTCGAAATGTAAATTTTTCTCAGCTTGGGTTGCGATATACGATCGATCGCAGCGCAAGAGAAAGGAAGAGATTTCTTTTTCTTTCTTTCTTTCTTTCTTTCTTTTCTCTCGATTTCCAGAGATGCGAAACGAGGTAGGAGAATGGCTGCCCACCTGCGTAGGTTCACCGATATGCATCCTCCTGTTATCTTGGTCCCTTCTCATCTATCAGAACCAGCCGTCCTCGGCGAAGAGAAAGATCGACGTGTTCACGGTGGCCATCCTATCCCAGAGTCTGGTCCACCAGCTCGGCCTGCTCTTCTACGCCATATTGACCCTCATTCGGCCGAGTAATCACTTCGGAGGTAAATAAAGTTAAGGTAGAGTCAGTTGCGGTTCGTCGTGGCGGGAGCAAGAAGGGATTATGGGATCGCGTCACGAGAAAGCGATCCGAAAGATGATCGATCCGTCGAATCGATCGACTCTTAACCTCTTAGCTCACTCGTTAAGAGTTAAGCGTTCAGAAAAACGCGATCGAGTTAGACAATATACGCTGTGCTTATTTCATCCGAACAAAGTTAAAATTTACCGTGTCGTATCATTTTTCAATATTTTTTTGATCCTTTTCAAATTTTTCTTTGTTGTTGTCGAGTCAACTCGGTCAAGCGAAGTAAGCTTTCGTGTTTTATTTTTCAAGAAAAAAGACAATAAAAAGATCGGAAGAGGAAAAACGACTGAATTTTTTAATCGGTTAAAGGATCGATAAAGTTATTTATGTATCATACGCGATTCGTTGGCAGAATTTTGCTCGACCCTTGTCTGGACGCTGAACTCGTCCAGCATCCTGCAGGAGTTGACCCTGACCTCGATCGCGATTTTCACCGCGATCGACGCGGGAGAGGAAGGTGCGAACCTCACGAAGAACCACCTCAAGTATCATCTGGTGAGCCTGAGCGTGATCAGCGCGTGCGTCGGGTTCACGGGTGTCCTCAACTTCGAGCCGGAACTGTGCGTCTTCTTGGCCCAAGAGATCTCACCCAAATACGGGATATTCGTCAACTCTCTTCGATGCCTGCTGATCGCCGCAACAGCGATAAGCCTGCTCGTGGCTTTGGTAAGGCGTTTCTGTCGCCCGCCAAAATCCGAGCTGCTCAAGTCGGTGTCGGATCTCTCCGAGACCAGCTCGAAGAACTCGTCGGGTGCCTTCGAATGCCATCCCCAGCATTGGGATCCGTCGAGCGGCTCCTGCACCAGCGGTTCCACAAACAGCAGGGCCTGTTTGAGGAAGAAGAGGGTGCAGATCGACGAGACCAGTGGGAGACCGACGACCTACAGTATACTATTCGTCTGTTACGTGTTTCAATATCTTCCAATTTTGGTAAGCAAAATTCTTTTTTTACTTTTCTTTTTTTTTTTTTAAAGGAGGTTCGATCGATGACAATAGCGATTTATAAGAAGCGTATTTCGTAACAAATACCACAAAATCGACGGATGGAGCAACGAACCGTGACGCTAAAAAGACTAAAAAGATCGCAGTCTAATTTATTCCCGATTTACGTTTTACGCGCGATTAAGAGTCTCAAGTTACACGGATTGTTTGTCAATTTGAAACGCTCGTTAATTATAGAGCGTAAACAAATCGTTATTTAATTATCGGCGAATTTAAAAAAAAAAAGACTGATTATCTTTTTTTTTTATCCTTGAAAACCGGAACCCGGGCACGAATTCCTTTCCTCCGGAAACACGAGTCACCGGTTTTATTCTCTTTCGCCCACACCGGAATTCCGTTCGTTCGTCAATCGAGAAAGTTAACGCGCCAAAAAGGGGAACGGGTACAACGAACGATACCTTTCTTTCGTACGAACTAACACCTTTGCCCAATTATATTCGAAAGTTTTATATATTCGAAAATAAAATTCCAACGTGAAGAAAATTAATAAAAAGGTGCGATGCCACCGCAACGCGGGAAGAAACAATAGCGGCATAAATATTGGAAAGTGCGAGCTTAATACGGATCGCGGCCTCGATATCAAAACTCGATTAAGATTCGTTGGATGCCATGTTTCTGTTTCCGCCGGTGAAACTCCCCCTGACCTTCCTCGTTAATATTTATAATTCGCTCGTACGCGTGACGTATTCATTATCGCCGCCACGGTGAACGAATTAGGTTGCTTCTGCGCAGCCGTTGAGATCTCTCCCCCCTCCCACTCTCCTGGCGTCGCGCTCTCGGTGGTATTCGACAAAGAGATTTCGTTTCCTCGAGCAGAAGATCCTTCGAGAAAGAAAAAAGACGAGCAATTTTTTTAACTCTTTCCTACGCATACGCGCTCTTCTCCACTCCGGTGTAACGCGGTTAACGCAGCTTCATAATTATTAATTTATACCGACGCGTTTCATTTTACTTTTTCCATTCTCTTATCTCGCCGAATGATTTTACACCGCGTTACGTAAACGCATCCACCATGTAAATTAGAAATCGAATTAGAAACGCGAATCTCGTGAACCGCCGTCTCGTTCATTGAACCGGCGTTGACAAGTTTCTGAATTTGCTCACACGTTCGCAAAAAAAAAAAAAAAAAAAAAGAATATCGTTCATCCTATTCGTTTCCTCCACGTTGACACAACACCATGATGAAACTCGAGTTTCTTCGAGTGCTTGAAAATCGTCGTCGTTGCCGATCTCTCGACGATCGACTACGAAGAAGAAAGCCGGGCACCGTGACGCTCCCATCGCATCCTTCTCTCCATCGAACAATTAAAAGAGGCGAGGTAAAATTCTCGTTCGAGATTCAAACGCGACTCGCCGCTCAAATTAATTGGAGAAACTCGCTCGTGAACGGAGACAGGATAATGGGTTGCGAGATGGAAGAAGGATAAAGAGAGAAAGAGAGAGAGGGAGAAGGCGAACGACGCGCCCCTAGCGTTGTGGAATCGCGCGAATCGGACCGATACGGTTGCGCGTGCAAACAAGAGTTAAGTCGCGTGTTAAGCGCACACGAAAAGTATTATTGGAACGATTCGGGGCAGAAAATCTGTTAACCGTGATTGCGTGTAGCATGTAATTGCCGGGAGAAGGCAATCGATGGGTAAAATTTAATAGTTGAAGTTACGTTACGAATAATGTTACCTTGAATAATTTATCGTTCATCAAACATAATAATAATAATTGGAAATAATTGTAATGGAAAACGGTAATGCTGAGAGTATACGAAATGTTGTTTAAGCGTTTCAATAAGTAATTACTCGAAGTAACTTTACTCGGAAATTTTTAACCTTGAAGGGTTGGAAAAGTCCAACTCTGGAAGGAACTAGGGGACTAGGTGATCGATTTAGTTAGAACGACGTTCGTTTAAGGGGGAGAATCTGTTCCGAGCAAGATTTTTTTCCGAGGTTTTTCGAGTAGGTTTATAGAAAGTCCAAACGGAGGAGGATTGAGATACGATCCAACGAAAGGGCGCGAGAAGAATCGTTGCTCCTCACGCGACGCGTGTACGATATACCTATATCTCGAGAAACGGAGTGAAATTGGAAATTATAATCGTTCGTGAAACGGTTTCACCGTGTTAATGGAACGATATTTCGAGGTTTCCCTTTCCACGGAGAGGAGAACCGCGCATCATCCCCGTTCCCCTAATCGAGGCACGCCGTAGTTTCGATTTCATATCTCCGCCTGCCATGATTACGCGCGTAATCATCGGACGCCGGATTAAAATCACGATAATCGCGAGCCGCTCTCTCGCACGTGTAATTCATTTCGCGCATAATTCCATGTAAATCCAGTCCGGCACGCAGCGATTTCCCAACCAGCCGGCTAGAAACCTTTTCTTGCGTCGATCCTGTCATTAACTTCTGCACTGGCCGGGAGAGATACGAAATACGACTGTGAACTTTCATCGTTGCGCAATCGGCCAAACGATTTCTTCCAAGCTTTTCCCGACCTATCGCCGCCGATATTCCCTCCAACTCGGCCCCGATACGATTTATCAACGGTTTTACAAACTCGGTGTATATGTAACACGAAATCGTATCTCGTTTTTTTAATCCCCCCAACTGTGAATTCCCGAACGTGTAAAATTTCGAAATTTCGAAAAGTCGAAAATCGATTTCTCGACGAGCAACAACGCCTTATCTTCCTTACCTTGGCGCGCTTTTCGAAAGTTTCCACCCGAGTAATTTTCCGCTCGCGGTCGAATTTAAAATCGAAAGTAAGGCTCGACCGCGTTAAGGCGCTTCTTTTTCTTTTTCTTCTCCTTTCCCTTCCCTTCCTTTCTTTCTCTCGGCCCCTCGAAATTACAGGAGCGCACGCGTCGCTTCTTTATCGACGCGTCGAGAGCAGACGAGCGGAGCAATTAGCCGCATGCGATGCCGGCTGCATTCCGCGCGGCGAAAGCCGTCATCGTTCCTGACACGATTTCTCTGTGGAAAATCGTCGATCCGATCGATCGCGCACCGAGAATCTCTCTCTCTCTCTCTCTATCTCTACACACGGTTGAAGTGGAAAGAAAGAAAGAAAGAAAGAAAGAAAGTAGGAAAAGTGTGAAGAAAAGTCGAGATATTTCCAAGGGAAGCTTTGAGATAGGAAAGAAGAGAATAAAAAAACACGATTGTAAATGCAATCGTTACTTTCTTTCTCGCAGGTGATATCCATCGAGCCGAGATTCCTAAGGGATTTCTGCACGCCCCAGAATCTGGCCACTTGGCTTCCGCTGGTAAAGGACACCCTGTTGCCAGTGTTTCTCGCGCTGTTCGACAAAATGTTCTGCCGTTACGTGGCCAAGGTCTACACGAAGCAGGATCACGCGAGGAGATTGTCTCACGGTAGGTGGCGATGGGCGACTCGATTTCACAAATAATAATTTCCAATATTTTCCATCGAGGGGGGAGGATCATATCGATTCATCGGCGGAGGATGAAAAATGCAACGCGTTGATCGATCCAGAGAGAGGGAGAGAGAGAGAGAGAGAGAGTGGACAGCCGTGGGAAACGCGTGTAATCGTCAAGGAGAAATATCGGTTACCTGACAACCTGTCATCTCGCAATCGCGGTAACCGCATACCGCTCAGGTTAATTTCTCTTTTATTCGTCTCTCTCTCTCTCTGCCTTCAATTTTTCTCTCCTCCCCCTCTTTTTCTCCTCGTGTTAGAAAATAACACGAGGAATCCTTGGTTTCTGGTTTGGAACGATTCGTGAGAGGTGGAGGAGGAAGGCTTGGCCATTTCTAGTTTCCGGTGCAATAAATCGAGGCGAGTGAATTTTCGCAACGAGCAGAGTACGAAAGATTGCGAAAGAAATTTTGCGGGCCGACGATTTCCTAGACGAAGATTTCACGAAAATATTTTTCCCTTTCGAACGCTTCCCTCCCAGGCGGAATCGACGGCAAGTTTCGTCACTTCGAGCACGAGGCCGAGTACAAACTGCAATTGAACCTGAACCACGGACTCAAGTTCCCCTTGACTAACGGAAGCCTCTACGGCCGGTTGCACAATCACCAGAACAGAGGCGAGTATATTTTTACATCGCGTTAATTTCTCCACACACGCTCTCCTCTTTCCATCATATTGTTCCTTTCCCTCTTTCTTTCCTTTCCGACGATTATCGGAATTTACACGAATTACGTAATCAAGTAAAATCGTAAGATTTCAAATTTCAGTTTTCGAACGATCCCGTTTCCAAGGGGACACCTTTCTTATCCACGGAGATCTCCAAAGAGGTCGCTTTGCGTCGGACAGGTGGCTCCGCCTGGAGTCTCTCCTCGAGCACGCTCTGAATTTTTGATCGCGCGACCCGCTTCCTAACGCTCGTTAGGAATTTCGTGGGCGACGCGACGATGGACACGCGTTGGATAAGAAAGTGGCCCGAACGATTTCCATCGATAATCACGTTCGATCTTCCCGTCTCTCTCTCTCTCTCCCTCTCTCTCTCTCTCCTGCCCCCGAAAACCCATCCTTTTCCTCCTCGGAACGATCGATCGATCCAAGCGATTGAGGAAACGGATTTTACAGGGAAGAGCGGTGTGCAACAGCATTACCCGAGAATACGATCCCTGGACGAGGAGAATAATTACGCTTCACTCCCCGCAGAACTCTCCTCGTTCGCCTGTTCGAGCCTGGAGCCGCGGCAAGAGGCGGGCACAGTCGAGGGGACGCCGGCGAGGAAGGGCACCGTGGACAGATCGAACGTTCGGCCTCGGCCGAACGAGAGCTCGTTCCAAGAGTTGGCCGGTACCCGGCGAAAGATCGGCAGCACGGACGTGTTCGGCCAGAATATGGAGAATCTGGTCCAATTGGACGACCCTTGCGCGAAACGAAAGTTCGCCAAGAGTCTGGACGAGATCAGGGAAGAGCCTTCGAGGAGGCACGCGAGGAGCGTGCTAGGTTTGGAGCATTTGATCGTTGGATCGGATGAGAATCCGGCTGAGGAGGAGGGGGGGCCACGTTGCCCCGGGAGAACAGCTCTTCGAAGGAATCAGAGCTTCGATCACGCCAGATGCCAATCGTGAGATTCAATCTCCATGTTTTTTAATTAATCGAAAAATATAGGGGGAACCCTCGCTTCTTCTTTTCTTCTTCTTCTTCTTCTTTTTTCTCCGCAAAATATCTCCGCAGGGTGTACCACCGACCGATGCTCGACTCGAGAACGTACGAGAACTCGAAGATGAAGCAGGATCAGAGTAGGAAGGAGCAGGAGAAGGTGCAAAGGAAGGAGGCGGAGGAGGAGGAGGAGGAGGAGGAGGAGGAGGGAGATGGATACGAGACCTCCGACGACGAGAGCTGCGACCTCGAGAACGGGGATTTCGACACGATGAGCTCGTGCAGGAGTCGTAGCAGGAGCTGTTGTTCCGTCACCACCGTGGCAAACGATGATTTCGAATACTTTCAACGTAAGGGAACTAAGGTAACATTTTCCTCTCGGCATCTCGTCTTCTCGTCGAAAATTTCTTCTCCTTTTTTTTTCCTCCCTCGTCGAAATGAGAATCGGCAGTCGATCGATCGACAGACAGACGCGAATAATCTGAGGAAAATAATGGAGTCGGTGGAGTTGGCCTTTCGTGGTCGTCGTTGATTGCGTAAAGAGAGAAGAACGTGAGAACGTGGCGGTTTTGCAGGTGGAGTTGCTGCCCTCGAAGAGAAGCGGCGAGGTAAAGGTCAACATGCGATCTTTCACGCCGAGGATCATCGAGAGCGGGGCGGAGGAGGTGGACACGAAGCCGAGCGTACAGTCGTATCACTTGAAGAGGACGAGAATAGGGAACGGTTACTCGATGAACGATCTTGACAAGTTGACCGTGGACCGGAAACGGCCCAATCTTTCGATCGAGAGCTTGAAGAGCACCCTGAGGAACACGGACGTCAGTTATCTGGACAACGGGGACATATGCAGGCACGATATCGGAGGATCCGTGCCGGATTTTAAGAAAATCTTCGTCACGGAATTTATATAGATAGAATTTTCGAAAATCGATTATTTTTTCGAGATTCAAGAGGGGATAATTGTTTGACAGGAAAAAAAGGATCGTACAAAGTGTTCACTGTAATATAAGATATTTTTCTTTTAAGAAGCTAAGATATATTTTGTATAGAAGAAGAAGAAGAAGAAGAAGAAAAAGTCATTTCTGAAACGACGCATAGAATTTTTGGTACAAGAGCAACATGGAAAGACTGTGCAATGTGTTCTTTCGAATAAAATTCGTCTTTTTTCTTTTCTCTTCTCTAGGAAAATATGAACTGATTGTATGGATTTACAAATTGGTTTGACGAAATACAGAGTTTTTTTTTTTCTTTCTTTCTTTATATATATATATATATATATATACAAGCGGATCGTTAAGGCTGAAAAGAAGTTTCTTCGTTTCAAAGAAAGCAAGAGAGAACCCTCGGGGAGAAATCGCGAGGTAATCTCCTGCAGTTCCTGAGCACAACCTAAGATCTAGAAAATTATATAACAGCTACACACGGAAGTAGTCGAATTGGAAAGTTCGCAAAGAATGCAATAAGTTTGGTCAAACGAGTTGTTAATTAATTCGATTCCTCGACTTCTCTCGTTCGATCCATTTTTACCAGCTTCGAGATGCGAGAAAAATTTTTTTTCTTATCTTAGAATCTTTGCACAAACGAATCGGCGAACGAAATTGCATCGATGGAAAATTCGTTTAAAAAAAAAAGAAAAAGAAAGAAAAGGCAACACGTTACGGGAGAATAGATACGGGAGAAGGAAAGAAAATCCGAAAAAAACCGGTTTTAAAAAACCGGCACGATAATATAATAATAATAATAATAATAATAATATATCGCGTCATCCGTTCATAAATCGACGTAACCACACTCGTGGGATCGAAAATTGCGACAAGGCTAAGTTTTACGTTACATTCTTGCGATATGTATTAGACGAGGTTTAAACAGAGATGCGAACAATGTAAAATATATACGTATACGAAATGTATGATTGCATCGATCGTGAAATTCCGCAAACGATACATTTTATCGCGTCTACGATTATCGCGCGTGGAGATCGTATTGTATATATCTTGTACATTTATGCGTATGTGTGTACGGTATTATTTAATTCGTTAAATATATATACAATATATGCGTATGTGGCAGACATTTGTGTATCGCTGGTGTATTTTTCATTCCCTACTGCGCGAAAAATACAAGATGCAAGATTTTATAATCTAACACGCTAGACTAGATTTTTCTTTTTTCATATATATATATATATATGTATATCAAGGAAAAGATTTATTTTTACGATACAATTGTGAGAAAGAAGAGCGAAAAAAGAGCTTATATGTGTATATATATATATATATATATATATAGCGTGGCTCTTTACAAAAAAATCGGCTCTCGCAATCACGATCGAAAGTTATCGTGAAATTCTCTTCTCACGGCTACCCGGATGCGCAATTAAGACGGATCACGTGTATCGATATATTCTTTTTTTCTCTTCAAAAAGCGAACTTCAAGGGTCCCTTGAAGTTATTAATTATTACAGCAAATTCGTCAAAGAGATTACACGTGCACGTCCCTAATCGCTTAATCGCTTAATTATCCTATCGATCTACGTATACACTGCGTTTTATTACGTTGACTAGCAATTACACGGTTTGGCATCGTTATTCGTTACATCTGATTACATTCGCCGACGGCAAATTATCATTCGAGCACGAATCTAGGGGGGGAAAAGGAATAATAATAATAATGTTGGGATGGTCGTCGATTATTGGCCACGTTGTCGCAATCGACTTGATCGACTCTCGCGATACAACGAACGAAATATCGAGCGTGTTCTCGTTGTTTTCATTTTTCTTCGCGATCATCGATAATCCTTTCAATGAAAATCGTTACACTATTGTTATATATATATATAGAAATTAATGCTTTGGTAAAGAAATTGCAACTTGTTCTGAAGCGAGATCGATGGAAGGAGATCAATGGCTCGCGTATACGAGATCGTTTCCTCGAAATATCGCCTCGATCATCGACTTCCGGTTGAACTTTCCTCCCCTTGACTCGACTATCGCCACCAGTTGCTGATATCGCTTCCAAGCGGTGACCGAGGCCGCTTCCCCTTCCGCCACGTTTTTAATCTTGCGATACACGTCGTCCGTGCTCCTGACCGCAGCCTCGGATGTTTGACAAACGCTTTCCGAATCCGGTATCATCTGAAAACAAATTTTTACGCGAAATAATTTTTAAAATAATTAACACCAAACGCTCTTCCTTCCGAAAGGAAGAAGAAGAGGATTCGATATATATATATATATATATATATTTTTCTCGACATTCGTTGCATTTTTTTCAAAAGGTGGACAGTTTTTTTTTTCCTTTTTTTTTTAAATGGAAAAGCATATCTCGCGATTACTTGGTTTCAAGAGGGTGAGCGTATCTGCTGAAAGTGTATATATACGTAAGCCTCGCCTCGTTCATCTTTTGTCCTCGTTTAAAGTTTCATCTCCGAGAGAGCTTCTCTTTCCTTCTCTCTCTCTCTCTCTCTCTCTTTCTCTGTCGAACCATTTTAAAAGCTCGTTGCTTTCATTCGCTAAATTGTGCAAGCTCTTAAGTCTCTTCCCAGACATTGTTCCATCGCGAGAAAGGGAAATCTAAATCAGCAGGCCGTCCTTTTTACGCCTTTTTATGCTCCGCTCCGCGGATTGAGATTCACTTTTATTCATCGAAACACGATCCATCCCGTATCGTTCCGGTTAACAGCGAAAAACCTGTGCTCAGTTTCTTCTCCATTTCCCTCGTTTTGGCCCCTCCCCTTTGTCCACGAAACGCCCATCAACGAAATTTACCAATTTTCCAGGGAACGAGATTCCATTCAACGGGGAGGAAAATTAATAATTCCCTCCTCCCCCTTCTAATAAATTACTCAACTATTATTCGTCGATCGTTGGATTATTACCCGGCTCCTGTAATTTGCTCGACACCGCGGTGGAGAAACAGGGTCGGTTTTAATCGCGTTCCTCGATCCGTCTCTCTCCCGTTCCTCGTCCCGTTTGACCGATGTTTGTAGGACGCCGTGTATACACGTGTAACACAAGCCTAAACCCGGCCCCTCGAAATCAATACTCGGCATTACACTGTTACTAAGGATTCCCATCCCCCAGATTCAACCCCAACGTGGCGACCCGGAGGCGAGGTTCAACGGCCAAAAATACGGGCCTTGGAACGCGTCACGATTTCGGAGGAGGGACGAATACCGCTGCCCTTCCTCCGTTCTTTTATTTATTTCTCCGTGCGCGCGTTTTACATTTTCAAAGCCATTTCGAAACTCGATTCGATCGCGTGGAAAAATTCGGCTTCGAGTCTAAGAGGCGAAAACAGTTGCAAGTTTTTGGGGAAAAGCGTTTCGAAAGGGAGAAAAAAAGAAAGAAAATGAGATTCCCAACTCCTCTTGTGGAGTTTCCTCGACTTTGGAATCCATCCAGAAATCGAAATTTCGTTCGATTGAAAGAAAAAATTAAAGGGACAAAGAGATGGATGCAATAACAAGAATTTTCGTCGAGTTTAATTCAATTCGGGATTCTTGTGTTCCCCTATGGAAGAGGAGAGGGAAGATCGTCCGAGTTTCCATCCTATAAGATGGAACGATAATTGTGACGAGCTCGTAAGCCGGGGCAATTGCTACTTTTATGGGCGAAGAAAGAAGTTAAACTATCCTTCTCCTCCCTATTTACCAGTTCTCTACTCTGGGTAGTAGAGTTTTAAGCACGAGGGAGGAAGGGGGGAAGTTTTGAAAGACTCTGGCAGGTACTTAAACTTTTTCTCCCCACCCAGCAACGATAAACATTTATCTTGTTCGAAAATTCGCAAAGAAAGAGGAGCAAAAACCGACAAACGGTTCCAAAAAGTTTGGCCGAAACTTGTAACTCTCAAACTTATTCCCAAAGGATATCGGATATCCCGTTGACGAGCATGCGAACGAATTAAAATACTTTCTTGCTCCCCAAACTTTTTATTTCCATCCCGTTAATGGAATCCCTACGATTTCCCCTCCTTCCTCCCCTTAATTAAACAGAGGAAATCTTCGAACGAGTGACATTTCCAACCACATTGCCCCTCCTTTCGAATTTTCGATCAGAAGGAGAAGAGGGAGGGGAGTTAACAAGTTTAATTCACGCGGCGCCAATTATACGCTGTCCAGACTATTGATAAAACTATTTGCTAAATCTGCGACAATCGAGGCTTCGAGCTCTATGAAACCGTCGATAGAAAGACTCCCGAGTTCTCATCTCCCGTGGCGAAAAGTTTGGTCGAAGAAATCAAGAGACTCGAGTAACAAAGCGTCCTCGAAAAAAATTCGCTCAAGAGATGGCATTGCTTTTATCGCAACGAACGATCGAACATTCGAATATTGTTTTTAACTCGTGGATAGAGGGAGGGGATGAAAGTTTGGAGGGAATCTTACCTCGCTATTCCTCCTCTATCCTATCCTTCCTGTTTCCTCGCCTGGGTCCTCGTCCAAGAAGAAACGTTAGGGTTAAGGGCAGTTCTCACGGAGGAGTCACGGAGGAGCCCTCCGTTGGTAATCGGAGACGATTGGAGCGCGGAGAGCGGATCCGACGGAGCGCGCCACCACCACCACCACCAACGGTCCAACGGTAACTGAAGAAGGCGAAACACAAACGGCGGCCATCAGCTGGTTTCCCGATTACTCGACCTCCCTCCCTCCCTCCCTCCTCGCCTCCTAGGGAACTCACATGTGCCGGCCATATGGGGGGAGGGGGGAGGGGGGAGTCGCCCGAGGGGGAGCGCGGTGGCCACCTCTTTCGTTTTCACCCTCCTTCGCTTTATACCCTGTAACGCTTCCGTAGGGCGCGATTCTTCAAGAGATTTCCGCTCCTCGCCTCGTCTGATTTAATAAAATTGTCTCTCGTTGTTCAGATCTATGGAGAATAGATCTTTGATATATATATAAGTTTTCTTCGTTCGAGTACGAGTTGGGCAATGTTTGCGAACGAGGGATAATTGTAGTAGAATGTCTGTTCTGATCGTGGAACAATCGAATCTTGTTACTCGGTCGATAATTAATTCCCGATACGTGTCTCGAATTTAGGGCGAATTTACCTTGGAATTAAGAGACGCGCGTTCGCGTAAGTTTGCCAAACTTTGCGAATCCCCCTTTCGATCGATGGTTTAATTAATCCTCGTCGAAAAAGATGGACTGGCTCGTCACGTTACGTAACCGCGTAGCAGCAGTAAGGTAAACGAAACGACGTACGGTTCGCTCGAGTCGAGTCGAGTCGAGTCGAGTCGTCGGTGTACGTAGTAGCTGTTCGATCGAAGCGCGGATCCACGTTCGATCCATGCATCGCCGTGGATGCAAGTGGACGTGTAGTACAGTTGTGCAATCGAGTTATCGACAAATCGACGTTAATTGCTATTCTCGGTTCGAAGGCAGTGGCGGGGCGAGGAATACGCGGTGCCACGCGGTGAAACAATTCTTTAAATTGGCGAGTTGAAGCGATCCATTTCTCGATTCTTTCATTTTCACTCGGGGGAGGAAAGGGGTTGGACTCGATTCGATCGTTTTATTATTTCCATTCTTCCTGCGAATTATTATTATTCTCCCCTTTGCCCGACTCGACGATATATATATATATATATATGGGGACTCCTCTGGCAGCGGAACGTGGTTGGGGAATGGTCGGTAAATTGGCTGAATTGCCGCGTCCGAGAATCGTGGCACGTCGATGCACGGAATCGCTCGAATTACGGGAATGACGGAACAGTTTGGACACAGATCTCACGGGATACCTTTTTCAAAATTAACTTAAATTTGTAGCTTTTCTTAGAAATTTTTCTAAGAAATTTTCTTAGAATTTTTTCTTTAGAAATTTCTTAGAATTTGTTTCCACATCTCGATGAATTTTTCTTTCCAATCGGACGTTTTCAGAGGAGAAGGAGGAAGATTCTCACTCGACGAGTTTTCATTTTTCCCCAAACCGATTCAGATTCGAATCGTCGCAGACGTTGAATCCAAACTCTATTTTCCTTCATGCTTCGAAAGAAAGGGGAAAAGATGTTTGAAAACGCGCGATACGCGGGCCGCGCAACTACGAAAGTGAAAAGTTTCGGTACAACGACAGATGGTTTCAGCATGTGCAGCGAGTTGCAAGAGTATATATTAAAAAAAGAGAAAGAGAAAAAAGTTGGACGTTCCCATTGGCGCGATAAAAAAGCAGGCATAAATTATCATCACGTGTACGTTCCATTATCTTTTTCTCAAAGGCCGATTATTTATTTCATCCAAAAATTTAAATCAACCGCGAGTTGGAATAATTAAATTCGTTTCGCGCGGTCGTCGGAATTCGAGTCGAAATCTTCCGATTCCCGATCGATTTTTCCACCCGATCGAAGGGAATCGAGGGGATATCGATATCGATCGAAAATTGATTTCCCCCTACGAAATAAATAACGATCGAGTTCCCCCAGCTGCGCCTATTCTTTAATAGGCAATCGGCGCGTGCAGCCGTAAGGGCGCACGACACCACAGCTCTCACAGCTGCCGGAAGTATACATCTGCCGCCGGTTAACCGTGCCGCGAGGCTTGGCCCACCTTTGTGCGCCGCAACGCGCGCGTTTCGTGCCATTGTTTCGCGCAATTATATTCGTTATACCACCGCGGTGTTTCCTTCCTCCCTCGATCGAACGAGCTTTGGAGGAAAAATTGATCGAAAATCTTTTTCCTCCGGAAAAGAACGAGGAGGAGGAGGAGGATTTTGAAAAACGGAAGGAGGAAACGGCGATGAGAGTCGATAAGGGTCTGGCTCGTGCCAGAACGCAACACCTTGATCGTCTCTGGATCTCTGGTGAAGGCGTTTTTCTGGGAGTCTGGAACCGGTGAAAGGCGTCGAAAATCCCGAACAAAGGGATCTTCTTTCGATTCCAACCTCGATGAGGGGGAGAAGAAAGAAAAAAGAAAAAGAAAGAAAGATATCCATGGAAAAATTCCGAAGAGGAGAGATACGAAGTGAATCATCCCATCTACCCACCCCCGTAACGAAACGTGGAAATAATTAACGGCAAGTTCGCCTCGTCAAACGCGATACGAAACGAGGCAAAGGAGGCAGGGCCCTCGATATCGATGAACCTTTATAATCGAATCGATCTTGACGAGAATGTTGGTTTAAACCGGTTTAATCCCGAGTTTAATTAGCGCATTACGAGGGGGTAGGTAGCATTAAACGATCGGCGATTCGATCTTTAAAGCAAACTTCTTTACCTCCCCAAATAAACGGATAAAGATTTATCTTTTGGTTAACGAGTTATGTGTATCTCTCTCTCTCTCTCTCTCTCTCTCTCTCTCTCTTTCTCTTTTTCTATGTCCTCCTCGCGTTTCAAGACCCTGTAGCAGTCGTGTTTTTTCCCTCCGAATAAATAACCGTAATTTTCCGTGGACAGTTTCAATAACAGGGGACGCATCTTAAAAGAGACAAAAGACTTCGAGTACGTACTTGATGGTCGAAAAAAATTCCTTCCCCCTGAAATCTCTTATCGTTTCCTCTCATGCTTGCGTTAACGTTATACATTATACAGAGGCAGAGTTGGGAATTAAGGTTGAAAAAGTAAATAAAAATTTCGAAATAAATGTTATTTTGAGCAATTACTCGTTGAAATGCTTGAATTTATTCGAGATTATTATTATTATTATTATTATGTTTCGAACGTTAAATAATTTTATTTGTAACTTTGAAATTTAAATTAAATTAAATTTTATATCCATCACTACGTACGTTTCACAGAATTGGATTTTAAGATTGAAAGATCAATTGAAAATTTCGAATTATCAAAGTTATTTTGAGCAATTACTCGTTAAAATGGAATTACTCACTATTCATTAAAGTAATTTTATTTGTAACTTCAATTTAAATGAAATTAAATTTTGCTCGTCATTGCCCACAGAATTGGATATTAACCAAAGTTGAAAAAGTAATTAAAAATTTCGAATAAATTTATTTTACTTTGAGCAATTATTTATTATTTTATTTGTAACTTCAAAATTTGTAACTTCAAAATTAAATTAAATTTTGCCCATCACTTGCTTCCGTTCCGCAGAATTGGATTTTAACCCAAGATTGAAAGAGCAATTGAAAATTTCGAATAAATATTATTTTGAGCAATTATTTATTAAACTACTTGAATAATATTTATTCGTAGCTATTATAATCTGCTTTTCGTATTTATTATTTTATTTGTAACTTCAAAATTTATTAAATTATTAAATTAAATTAAATTTTTCCCATCATTATCTCTCCATAAAATTGGATATTAATCCAAGATTGAAAGAGTAACTAAAAATTTCGAATAAATATTATTTTACTTTGAACAATTATTTATTACTTTATTTGTAACTTCAAAATTCAAATTAAATTAAATTTTTCCCTCTCTTTGCATCCCACAGAATTGGATATTAATCCAAGGTTGAAAAAGTAATTAAAAATTTCGAATAAAGTTATTTTACTTTCACCACTTTTACTCGTTAAAATGAATAACATCTATTCGTAGCTATCACAATCGATCCGCTTTTCGCGTAACAAATATTTGACACTACAATTATTGCGTTTCGAACAATAAATTGCAACACGATACAAACAATAAATCGAAATAACTTTATTCGTAACTTCAACTAATAAATTTTGCCCATCACTGCTTCCAGTCATTCCCTGCATCTTAAACCACGAAAGAGAGAAAGAGAGAGAGAGAGAGAAAAGAAGAAACGAGGAAGAGACGATCAAAGGTCCCACGAATATTCCCTGTCCCAATATTTTCCAATCGACCCGGTGCAAGGAATTCGGGCGATGGACGATCGGCATAAACGAATCTCCTCAACCCTTTCTCGTGTTTTCACCCCCGCAGCTGACGAGCCACGGGGATACCATCTGACGGCTCGGCCAGGAACAGCTGTTCCCTCCCCTTCCAGCCACCTCCTCCTCCCCCTCCCTCTCTGCCAGGCCCGCACCAGTCCAAAAAATCGAGACGATTTCGCCCGGAAGAAGAAAAAAAAGAAGAAGTAGAAGAAGAAGAAGAAGAAGAAGAAAAGGAAGGAAGCGAACACCCGGCAGCGTGTTTCCGGGGGTGAGATTAGAGCAGAGCGAGAGTTTAGAATTCGACGAAATTCGAATTAAACGGCGAGAGAATTTTTTCATTCAGGGGGGGGAGAAACTTATGCGAAGAGGGGTGATGAATCTTGAATTGGCGGGTCGGTTGGAAAGTCGACAGGTTATCGAGATATTGGAATACGATAAAGGGGCAATGTTTGGCGGACTTCGATGGAGAAAGTTGGTGGATTGGCAATTTGGAAATTTCCCTTTCTTCTAAGAGGACTGGTAAAAGACTTTAACAATTTTGTTTTCAAAACGGAAGAAGGCCCGATCTCGATTGAAATTTCCGTTCGATCGAGGTTTGTTGCTCGATCGCCAATCACCCTCCCCCCTAATGGGGTGTCCGAATCCTCGAAACGAGACGGTCGCGGGTTATAGGCGGGGAATAAGCATAGATTCCCTTGGTAACAGCAGCCTCGGACTTATTTTCGAGCGAACGTCGAAGACAACAAAAGTACCTCGACGGAGCAGATGCATGGCATGTGCTACGAACCGACACCAGATGCCCCATTGGCGTAGAGATCCTCGAGGCAAGCTGCGCCACGATAAGCTGCCCGGGATCGGCCTTTTCGGTCGCGTGCCATTCCCAGACTTCTCTGGACGGATTCTCGTTTCTCCCTTCGATTCTCCTCCACGACGACCATCCATCCCTCCTCCTCCTCTTCCGGTTTACGTCGAGGCGAAGGAGGGAAGCTCTGGGCGAAGCCGCGACGACACCTGGAAAATTGTCTCCCAACCGAGATAACGAGCGAGACGTAAGAGATTCGAGAGGAAGAGGATTCGGTGGAGGGGAGGAAGGGAATGAAGAAAGCGGGGATCGAATTATTTAACTTAGCTCTCGTTTATTTACTGGTCAATCGATGGTTATCTACAATGATTTATTGTAAAAGTAACAAGTAGTCGTGTATAAGTTAAAACGATACGATATCATACATATGTACAAGGGACGACGATCGAGGATCCTCCGATTGATCCTGACTCGAGAGACGAGAATCGTCGACGAAAGGGTTGCTTATCGCCCAACGTGTGGCACGTCTCGTATATAGGCGTAGAGGAAAAAAATTATTGTTTACGTCGAGATGGCGGGTGACTCGCGATCGAGGTCGTGATCGTCGATCCAAAATCACTCGCCGATCTCTCTATAATCTATATATATATATATATATGTATAATTCCCATCACGTTTGTTCATCGATCCGAATGTCGACGTTGAACTCTTCTCCTCCGTCTATATCCAATTCCGATTTGCTCGATTGTTAGAGATTATTCGTCGTATCGACGAATCGTGATTCAGAATCGATAATATTTATCTAGAGTTTAAATCCATCGACGACATTTGGATCCAAATTCTCGTATACCATCTTCTTTTTGTTTTTTTTTTTTTTTGTTTCTTTTTTTCTTCCTTTCGAATCGATCGAACATTGCACAGCATGATCGCTGCTTTTTCTTTCTCCAAGAGTAGACGTTTCTTTCTTTTTTTTTTCTTTTCTTGTTTTCTCTCTCTCTCTCTCTCTCTCTCTTTATTTAAAAGGTAGCGAGGATTTTTGTTAGTTAAGGATAAGATCAACGAGCGATTGAAACGGAGGCACTTGGTAAACGTGAGAAATTGCGAGAGGATTGATAGGGGCGAGATGCGATGCAACGTTCGAACAATTCGCACGAATTTATCACGCGCTTAAAATAATCTACAGGAGTTTGCCCTAGGAATATTTAGTTTTTCTTTTTTTCTTTTTGTATTTGCTTTTTTGTTTTTTTTTTTTTTTTTTTTTTTTTTTTTNTTTTTTTTTTTTTTTTTTTTTTTTTTTTTTTTTTGATTTTGATTTCAAAACCGACGAGGCGACGTCTCTTCTCGCTTTTCGATCCTCCAAAACGAATTCTTCCACGCGAGGAGGATCGAACAGGCAAAAGTGATGCGCGATAAAATAATCTACAGGTTTCTCTCTCTTTTGTCTATGTGTGTGTATGTGTGTGTTTTTTTTCTTTTTTTTTTTTTGAAAAAACGTCTCGACAATCGATTAAGAAACTCTGGTTAACTGGGGGGTTAAACTGGGGTTCACAACCCCCTCCCCCGTTGCTCTCGTTCATATCGATCCAGCGTATGAACCTCCCCCTCGTATTGACATCGTTTATTGACATTCGTTTCTCGCGGAGTCGAATCTAACGTCCAATGGATCGAAAGGGGTTGCGGGAGAAGAGGGGAATTTTTTTTTTTTTTCTTAACCATATAATAACGCGATACACAATAAATAACGAATATTAAAAAAAAAAAAAAAGAAAGAAAACGATATTATAGGTAAATACTAATGTATATATGAAAAATAAAATAAAAAAAAAAAAACGAACGCTAAAACGATACGAAAGAGGAAACAGAAAAGGAAAGAGAAAAATGATTAAAAAAAAAAGAAAAAGAAAAAGCGACTCGTTGTACGAACGAATATAAAAAAAAAATTAATTTGTATATGTATAACCAATTTGGTGCAATCGAAAAAAATGAGGACGTTACGTTACGTACGTTCGTGACGCGCCATTGGATGTTAAGTTCATCCTCCCTCTGACCGTATCATCATCAATGGATAGGAACCTGAAGAAGAGTCACGGATCGCACAGACGATCGTCTTTCCTTTTCTTCTTTCCTTTCTTTCTTTTTTCTTTCTATTTTTCTTCGTGAAAAGAAGAAAAAAAAGAAACAAGAAAAAGAACGAAATCGTACGCTTACACGGTTAGTTAGCGGTGCTTCTTTAAGCGCTTCTTTAAGAGTTCTTAACTTCTAATTTAAAAATTTGTTCGAACCTTTTTTTAGAATCTCTATTTTAATAATATACGTACTTTCTAACGCGTGGAGGGGAGGGGGAGAAAAATGAAAATGAAAGGAAGGAAGGAAGGAAGAAAAGAAAAAAGGAGAATATCACGAGAGAGAATATCGAAGAGAGGGGGTGGGGAGGGAGCGTTCACTTTTGATTCTCACGCGGTAATTTTCTCTCGTTGGCCGGAACGAGAGGCAACAACTCGGCCACTCCTCTCCGCAACTGCGAGCAAGTTTTGGAATTCGCTCGACGAATCGAGCGCCGGTGTCCTCCTCTCTATCCCTCTCTCTCTCTCGTGAAAGCGCGTCCGTCGTTTGCTTTTGACGAACACGCGGCATGAATGCATTTTAATCCGAATGGGAAGAGCTGCTTCTCCTCCTCCTCCTCCTCCTCTCTTTATATTTTCCTTTCTTTTATCGCGACAGATAGCCCCGTGTGCTCGAGCATGGAGCAAACCGGTGGACGATCACCGGCCACCGGTCCGAGATGATTGAAAAGTGAATGTCTACCAACGGCCGTCTATTCTATCTATCCCCAGTAGAGGAGGAGTAGACGGAGGTCGAACGTTAACGAAGAACGTTTCATCTTTTTCCTCTCGTCTTTCTTAAAAAAAAAAAGTAAAAAAAACGAGTATCAACGAATTCAACAATTGTTTCCTTTCTTCTAAATTGCCTCCCCCTTTTTTCTTTCCGATTCACACAGGGGGAGCATCGTAACCTAAAGAGGTTGCCCTTCCCCCTCCCCGCGTATACCTTCCCCTCGACTTCCACCTCGAGACGGGTGGAACGGGCGCTCTCCTTTCCAACCATCGCGTCCCAGATCGCGATTACGCTCTCCTGTTCCTCGCTGGAAGCAGTTCCTCCAGAGAGGAAGAGGAAGAGGAAGAGGGGAGAAAAAAAAAAAAAAAAGAACAAAAAAGTACCTCGTCTCGAGGATAAAAATCTAGAGCGACTGGTTTACGTGGCGTATCGAAGGAAGGCCCGTTCCCTCTGCACCTCCAGATGGTCCTTCATGGCCAACACCGTGGGATGATGAGGCGGCAATCCCTCGTCCTCGACCAGATATCTGAGGGCCTCCGTGGCGCATGCATCCCAGCCGGCGTTCCAAGACGAAGACGGAACAACCCGGCCTGTCCATCGAACGAAACTCGGCTCGGCCGGCTCCTGCCCGGGGCCCGGGGTCCTCGAACGGCCCTCGAGACGCGGTCGCCGCCGCCGTTTGCCGAACGGCAGAGGCGACTCCCCCTGCCTCCTCCGCCATTTGCTCGACGCAGCGACGTCGCGACAATTACCCGTCCCCCCCTTGAAGCTCTGATCCTGAAGGCAACCGTGATCCGGGTAACTCGTCCCTACCACCATCGCCTCCGTTCGACGCGGTTCCCTGTCGACGAGGCCCGTCGCCGTGGCCGTGGTCGTGGTCGCGACTCTGGCTGCCGAGGTGGTCTGCCTCTCGCGGGACCGCTTCAACTCGTTGGCCAAAGAGGCGGCCAGCTGGTGCAACAATCTGCCGTCCTCCCGTTCCTCTTCCTCGAGCTCCTCGTCCAACTCCACGCCCTCGTCCTCCGAGGAGGAGGAGGACGACGACGACGACGACGACGACGACGACGACACCAGGTTCTCCTCCTCGTCCACGCCCAACAACGCCAGTAACCTCTCCGCGGCATCTGCGCAGACCGTGCAATGGATTTGGTGTGTGCGTGTGCGTGTGCATACGTGGCGGATGTGTTACACCCGCGCTTCGAACCGACAGTCCCTTCCCTTCCCCCGCTTTCCGTGCGAAAGTCGACCGCGAAAATCGAGTCTCCACCTCGAGCCTCCCGTTTCGCTATCCATTATTATAATAATAATAATAATAATAATAATAATAATAATAATAATAATAATAATAAAAGTGGATTGGAGAAAATAGGCAATGAATGGATATTTTTCAGGATAAAAAAAGAAAAAAGAAGCGAATCGAAAGGTGGGGGGGGGGGGGAAATGATCGAAGAGGAATTCGGCCGGAACTCGCCTCGAGGAGACGAGTGTTTCGCGCTCGCGCCCTTCCTGTGGGAATGCTGCGCCATCACCCTCCCATGGGAACTACCTGCCGCTACGCCTCTGTCCTTCCTCCTTTCTTCCCGCGGATCATCGAATTTCGCACGATCCTCCTCTCTCTCCTTTTCGACCCACCCCTCTCGCTCGTGTGCGTGCAGCACCCTCGAGAAAGTCTGACGGTGGTGGTGATGGTGATGGTGGTGGTGGTGGTGGTGGTGGTAGAGGGTCAGTTCGTCTTGTGGGAACCACGGCGTGGATACCGTGGTCTTCGATCGAACGATTAAACCGGGGATACCGAAATTGGATCGTAACTGCTTTGGATGGATGGGAGGAGGAGATTCCTTTTTTTTTTTTTTTTAAAAAAAAGGAGATACGATATCGATATTGCAAGGTTTAAAGTTAAAGGGGGAGAGAGATTTTTTTCTCCCACGATTTGTCTCAATTACGAAGATGGAGAGGATATTTGAAGAAAATATAGCCGGGAAACGAATATATGGGGAACGCGTTGAATTGAGAAGAGGGAAGATACGTGCGGAGGTGTGTAATACGGTCGGATTAAAGGAGATTAAACAAGTTTTGGGGAACTATTAGTCTCTCTGGAGGAGAGGGTTGAAAGTCTGCTGTTCCGTTATGAATTATGTAACGACATTGTGTCTGGGTACTCTGGAAAACAGAATTTGCTCGTATTTAGGTGGAAATGGTGTTTTCCGCGTGTGCGAGAGTGTGTATCTTCCACAGGGATGCCAGTTTTGATAAAATAGCGGTTGAATGGGTGAAGGGAATATTCTCGAGCGGTGAAATTCGAGGAACGTGGAAGATCGATCAGAGATAAATCTTCGTCTCTCTCTCTCTCTCTCTCTCTCTGTTTTTTCTCTCTCCATAAAAGTTCACACAGAGCGAGGAACGAGTTTAATAAATCTCGTCTCGCATAAATTGAAAAGGAAATTATAATTTATAGGAGTCGATATAGGAAACCGGATCACGTCCATCTCGCGAGACTTTTTTTTTCTCGTAGACCGTGCTCCCTTTTTCCTTTCCTTTCCTTTCCTTTTCTTTTCTTTTCTTTTTTTTGTAACGTGCTCTCTTTCTTTTTCTTCTTCTTCTTCTTCTTCTTCTTCTTCCTTCTCTCTCTTTTCATCCCATCGAAACGCCGGAACGGAACGTCTGGACCAGTCACACACAAACGAGTTCATTGTTTTTTTCCTCCGGAGGACAACCCCCCCCCCCAGGATGTGGACGCCGGACGTTCCCACAGGGATAGCAAGATTTAAATGTCTCTCGCTTCTATGGTCTCTCCAGGACGAGGAGAGGTTGCGGATGGATTGGGTTAGGTTAGTCAACGATTTAAAGGTCTCCGCGAAGGGTGAACCGTGTAGTTGGGTTACCCACGTCCCACGGCAGAATTCGGTTAGAAGCCAAGATTGAAGAAGTAAAACTTTCGAGACAAAAATTTCGAACAAAAAGTTAATTAGTAATTATTTATTAATGAATTTGAATTTATTCGCAGCTATATAATCGATCCGTTTGGCAAGCTAGGATTATTCTTGTTTCGAACAATAAATTATCGAAGTAATCTTATTCACAACTTCAACTAAATTAAATTTTTCCTATCACTTTCTATGTCTCATGAATTAGTTATTAGTAATTATTAAGTTAGTTAAGTTAATTAAGTAATTATTTATTAATGAATTCGAATTTATTCGCGACTTTTATAACAGATCCGTTTGGCAATCTACGATTAATATTGTTTCGAACAATAAATTGAAGTAATTTTATTTTGGCAACCTATTATCATTATGTTTCGAGCAATAAATTATCGAAGTAATTTTACTCGTAATTTCAACTAATTAAATTTTGTCCATCCACGACAGAATTCGGCATTAACTCAAAAACGTAACTTGAAAAAGTAATTAAAAATTTCAAATAAAGATACTTTAAGTAATTATTTATTAAAATATAATAATATAATAAAATATTTGAATTCTATCACTATCTACGTCTCAGGCAGAATTAAACATTAACCCAAAATTGAAGAAGTAACTTGTCAAAAGTTTCGAAACAAAATTACTTTAAATTAATTAGTAATTATTTATGAATTATTAATGAATTTGAATAATAAATTATTGAAGTAATTTTATTCGTAATTTCAACTAATTAAATTTTGCCCATCCAGAATTCGGCATTAACTCAAAAACGTAACTTGAAAAAGTAATTAAAAATTTCGAATAAAGATACTTATTAAAAATAAGTAATTACTTATTAAAATATTTGAATTCTATCACTATCTACGTCTCATGGCAGAATTAAACATTAACCCAAAATTGAAGAAGTAACTTGTCAAAAGTTTCGAAACAAAATTACTTTAAATTAATTAGTAATTATTTATGAATTATTAATGAATTTGAACAATAAATTATCGAAGTAATTTTATTCGTAATTCCAACTAATTAAATTTTGCCCATCCACGACAGAATTAATCCAAGGTTGAAATAATAATTAAAAATTTCGAATAAAGTTACTTTAAACAATTACTCATTTAAAATGCTTGAATTTATTCGTAGCTACTATAATTGATCCATTTGACTACGATTATTATTGTTTCGAACAATAAATTATCACAGTAATTTTATTCCTAACTTCACTATTAAATCACTGTCTATATTTTACAGGATTGGGTATTAAGGTTGAAAAAGTAATTAAAAATTTCGAATAAAGTTACTTTAAATAATTACTTATTAAAATATTTGAATTCTATCACTATCTACGTCTCAGGCAGAATTAAACATTAACCCAAAATTGAAGAAATAACTTGTCAAAAGTTTCGAACAAAGTTACTTTAAGTTAATTAGTAATTATTTATTAATGAATTTGAATTTATTCGCAGCTATTATAATCGATTCATTTGGCAACCTATTATCATTATGTTTCGAACAATAAATTATCAAAGTAATTTTATTCCTAACTTAAATCATTGTCTATATTTTACAGGATTGGACATTAAGGTTGAAAAAGTAATTAAAAATTTCGAATAAAATTACTTTAAGCAATTACTTATTAAAATTTTGAATTTGAAATTTTGAAAAGTTTGAATTTATTCGTAACTATTACAATTGATCCGCTTTTCGTATAACCTACGATTATTTGGCAACCTACGATTATTTCGAACAATGAATTAAAGTAACTTTATTCGTAACTTCAATTATTAAATTTTTTAAACATCGTCTGAAACGACAACTTGCCAACGATCTTTGATATTCGAGACGGTATAACGAAATGGCGGAAAAATGAAAAAGGAAAAATGTGGATAGAAATGACTTGATCTCGAAAGAAGAGCAAACTATAAACCCGGATAAAACTTTCATAAGATCCACTTAAAAGATTCTGCTCGTTCGAAAAAAGAATCGAAAAAGATGATCGTTGCCCGGGAAGAATAAACCCTCTTCCGTCAATTTACGACAATCCCCCCCTCCCCATCGAACATTAAGTTACGAAGATGATCACGAGGAACAAATCCTCCCCGAAAAAAGGCGAGCAAAAACCTCTTCCTAGGCGTTATAGATTATCAGGAAAAAAGAGATTATTCTACTATTCTTCCTCCTGAAGAGGAAGAGAACGCGCCCGAAAAATGAAACGAAATTTATAGATAAGGGATGAATTCGATCCCCTTTCCATCCATTGCCTCGAGAAATTGCCAGCCTGAATTCTCCGCCGAGGATCGAAACGGTTGTAAGATACTCGAGCACCTATTAGCATATAAAATTCATATCTCAAAAAAGGGGTCCCTTATTTTTTTTTTCTCGCGTTCTCCCGCCGCTTTTCGATGATTAATTATACAAATTTTAACGAATCTTACTTAAATGGAGTTTGGAAACTGTTACACCGTTCTTGCCCCCTCCTCCCAATGGTCGTTGGCCATTAACCCGTTGAAAAAGTGACTGGGCAATTAAAACCGGTTAAAAAATAAAAGTTACTCGAAGGGATCACTTGTTAAAATGCTTGAGCAACGTTTATAGCTGTTATAATTGGTAGCTCTCTTGGTAATAATAATCGTTTGCCACGATTACGGAAGCAACGTAACTTCGACTATTAAATTTTACAGACACGTCTGTGATCCTTGGGAAAAAGGAAAGGATCGGTTTGAAGATCGGTTGCTCGAACTCTCCACGACACGTTTCGGAGTCGCGAGTTCGATCGAGATTAATTCTTTTCTCCAAATTGTTATTATCGGTATGAAAATGTTGCATCGAGGCGGGTACAAAAATTAGGTCGAGATCGTGGATTCTTGAAGAAAAGAAGGATCGTTGAAGGATTCCCAGACAGATGGAAGAAGGGAGGAGAGGAATAAAAGTTTTCTGGGATTTTTATACCGCGCATCCTCGTAAGAGGAAAAGGATCGAGAAATGTTTCCAGCGTGAGTTTCTCGCGTGGAAAGCAACAAATTTTCCCATATTCCCGGGCAAACTCGATTATCCCCCTTCTTCTCTTCCCTTTCTTCCGTTTCTTTGACAAAGGGTCGACGTTCGACCTACGAGACACAACACAAGTCGAGGAATAAAGTTCGTTCTCGAAGTTCGTTCGCAGCAACGCCTCGAATCGAAATTTCGAGTAAATTTCGATCGCTTGATAAATAATCATTTTATATATCAGCCAATCTCTCTATATCCGTTTCTTGACTCGAAACGTTTCGAATATAAATTAAAAACGTTTTCCTTTCTTTTTTCCTTTCCTTCGACGATAAAAACGACACCGGCCAAGGATCGTCCAACAGGATCGTCCGTGGACAGTGAGATAAAAGTGACGACCGTTTCGGCCAATTAAAGAAATCGGGGAATAAATAAGAGATCGCGATCGGGGCCTTTTACAAATTATCGATCGAAGACGACCGATCGACGCGTGCTGATTAAAGCAATTAAAAAAAAAAAGGCAACTCGAAAGAAGGTAAAACGATCAACAAAACGGAGGAAACACCGTGGTGTTTCTCGAATCGAATTTTTTCGGATCGCGTGACCATCCACCAGGATTCCAAGGGCCTCGAAGGAATCGAGGAGCTATCTCGTTCGAGAGCGAAGCGCTCGAAGAGGGGGGAGGAGTGGAGTGGAGAAGAGGAGGAGCGGATAATTAGGGCCGATTATTATCGGACGCGTGGCGTAAGTGGACAGGAATCATCACGAATCACGGAAGAGACGAGAAGTCAACGATCCCTTCGATCCCTCGTGAATTGCGCGAGGTGTTGAGGAGGGAATCTTAGCTCTCCTCGAAACAATCGAGCGGGAGGAAAATCTGTGTTTTTCTCCGCGGGGAAGGAATTGCAGGGACCAGGGTCCCCCACGTTCCAAACCTCGTCGTCCCGGCCTCGACTTTGACCGTTCAACCGGGACGAGAACCGGGGAGGCAAGCCTCCCCCTCCCCCTCTTTTCGCAATCTCGTTGTTATTGCTTTCTCCAACGCTCCCTTCTGTTCTTTCTCCAACGGATTCCTTTGAACACCTTTTTTCCTCCCTCTTTCTTTCCTCCTCTCTACCTCTCCGACGAGGAGGAGCGAAAAACTGGTATTCCGCTGGTAGTTTCTAATTTGGAGAATTCTCTTTTCCTTCTTTTCTCTCCCTCTTCCTTTTATCTCGAGAATATCCTTTGAAATATATTTGATTCGTTGGTCTTTTATCCCTCGATCAACGAGGAGGATGTAATTTCATAACTGTCACATTTTTCCGACGTAGACGTAGGGGGGAGGGACAAAGGGAGCGAGAGAGAGAGAGAGAGAGAGTTTTCCCTGGAAGTTTCTCGGTGGAAAAAAGGAGGGACGACCGGCCAGTGTCAGAGGAGACGAGAGGAAAGGGGAAGGACGCAAAGAAAACGTTTTTAACGATACGTTTATAAAGCTCGGGCGGAGAGGAGAGGAGAGGAGAGGAGAGGAGACAACAAAGTGAAACAAGCCAACGTGACAAAGAGTTTTCTTGCGGCTGTAAATAATTATTCTGTCCCGGGGATATTAGGGGGAAAATATTCCCTCTTTGTGCAGTGGGAGGGGAGTAATTGCATTTCTGCCAATTTTCCCCGCAGCTGAACGTTTATTTAGCTTAACAATTTTCGAGAGCCCACCCCCTTCCCGCGCCCTCCAACGCCCACCGCCGTTATTCTGCCTCGTTACACCGCCAACCTATTCTCTTCCTCTCTCCCTCCCTCCCTCTTAATACCCCTCTCCTTCCCCCACCATCCCCCGACAATCTAATTAACGAGCAAATAAAGTGCGCGAATGCACACCGGTTTCCACCGCAGAGGGATGAAAGGGTGGGGAAAGGTAGTAGTGTAAAACAAGGGGGTAGTTAGGAATAGAAATGGAAACGAGGATATTCCAAGGAAAGCAATTTGAATTGCAAGAAACTTGTTTGCGCGTTTTATGAACGCCTCCAGGGATAATGATATTACATCATCGAGAAAAGAGAGAGAGAGAGAGAGGAGAGGAGAGGAAACGAGATCGACCAAAAGTTGCGTCGTGATTATTCCATCTCCAGGAAAGAGAGGGGGAGGGGAGGAAAAGAAATAAGCATTCGAGAAAGAGAAGATTCTCTCGAGAAAGATTATCCATCCCCCTCGTTTTAATTGACCCGATTGTTAATAAACGGCCCGATAATAAGCGCCCCGAACATTTCGAGGGATTCGAAGTGGTGCTCGATCGCGCCCCTAATTGCGCGCCCTTCCCCTCTTTAAACGAAAACATCCTGTTCGAAAACCTGCCGTTCGGCGCGGGGGAAGGAGGGGGAGGAGGGAACGAAGAATGAAAGTTTAATTACCTCGAATCGTCGGGGATGAATCCGCGACGTCGGTCGCGAGGTCGACCAGCTCGTCCAACCCTCCTGCGTCACCCTCGCAGTCCATCATCGTGTCCTGAAACCAAAACGTGATTCTTTTCACAACCGATTCGTTTCTTGCTTCTTCTTCATCCCTCTTCGACTTCTTTCATCCTTTTTCTCCCCTCGAAACGATCTCGTTCCTGGAAATATCGATGGATATTCTCCGACGAACGAAGAAACGAGATTACGAGTCGAAGCATTGGGAATAAAAAAGAGAGTATACGGTTGACTCGATTATTAATTTAACCTCGGTTAGAAAACCGTTTTCGTCGGTATAGGATAAGATTTATTATCATTAAATGACGAATATCTGTCCTCGAATATTATAATCGAGAACGAAATCGGGATAAATATGCGTTATCGAAGAGTTGAGGGAAGGAAGGAAGGAGAAAAAGTTTGGAAAGAAGATGTCTTAACGAACATCCCCCCCTATATCAATTTCGAAAAATTGAAACACGTGGAACCGCGAGGCTCTCATTAACGTAATATACATTGTAATCCGTCGTTACACCGACTCTCTCTCTCTCCCTCCCTCCCTCCTCTTAATTTAGATTAAAATTGCACGGTGTAAAACGTGTGGGACTCGATGGCCCAAAACCGATTTCCCATAAAATCGACCTGCCGAATCACGTTCGTTAAACCGCCGCTTCTCCAATCCCTTAAAAGCTGATCACCGTTAATAAAGAGGGCATTAAAAAGGGGAAGGGAGGACGAGAACGAAATCCAACCGGGACCGCCCGATAAGAATAAGGTAAATCGATGCTGGAAGAAAAAAAGAAGAAAGAAAGAAAGAATGGAAACCGGTGGAAGTAAATTGAGCGAATCGTCGAACGATATGACGATTCGATTCGATTCGTGATTAATCGATCGAGTAAGCTTTGTTTCGAAATTATTCGCCAATAGGCGAGCAGATGGTAATTAATCTTGATTAAATTTTGTAATCTCGTTATCGTCCGTGATTCACGTGAAATTTACAGAGCGAGATTTTATAGAGCGTGTGTTCGATTAATTAAGTAGTGAGGCGAGCCGTTTGTTTCGAAATAACAAACGATTGTGACGTGATGATATATTCGATTTTATTATCGAAGAGAATCATCGATCGGAAAGAAAGAAAGATCATCGGAGAAAGAGAGACGTCTCTCATCGTTTCCCTTCTTCATTTTACATTTTAATCATTTTAAAAACATTTATTCACTTGCAATTAATTCGATCGAGTCTTCCGCTTTGGATTTGGATTCGATCTTTAAAACCGTCGCGATCATCGTCCCTTAGAGGCTTCACTCCTTTCGTTCGTTCGGCCATCGAGGTCATCCGTAAATCGAGGAAATTTATTGCGTGGGGTGCGTGAAAATGCGCCCAGTGACCCAGAGAACGCGGCAATAAACGACCGTGAAAACCGACCCTTCCCTTCCATCGATATAATCAATTTTATGGCTTCTGGTTGACTTGGAATAAAAAAAAAAAAAAAAGAAGGAGGGAAAGAAATTATTTTCTCTTTCTGCTCGGCCGATAATAATCTCGGCCAATAATTATCCAAACGGACGAAAGGGTACCCCTCCTTGCGAAGGATGACGTGGGTTCAAAGGCATCAAAAAAAAACGTTTGATAATTTCGATGATACGTTTTACGTGAAAAAACGCGAGGAATCTCTGCCTCTGAGGGGGATGCGTGCGTTATAATCGATCGAAGGGGCGCGATTTCGTGGCAAGTATGCAAATCACATATGGGTCCAATGTTACGAAAGAGAAAAAGCAGTAGTTGAGAAAAAGAGATCCTTTCTCGAAGCTTATTGCTGGAATGTTGAATTGAAAAGAAATCTCGCGGGGAACGAGTTTGCACTTGCAATTAAAAAAAAGGATCGGCCAAATTTATTACTGGATGGATCGATCGTACGACGTTTCGTTTCGAGCTCGAGTCTCTTGTGCAAGTTTGGAGAAAGGAAAATTTTGTTCGAGAGGAGGAGAGAGGAAGCGACGGAGGAAAGAATATTTTTATCATCGTGGAAAACGAGGATAATAAACGGGCGGTAAAACGGGGCGAGGATGAGACACGAGACGTTTAAAAAAAAAAAAAAAAAAAAAAAAAAAAAGGAAACAAAGTGGAGAAACTTTTGTCCACTTTTGCTTGGAATTTATTTTTTCCCGCTGCTCATCCCCCTCCTCCTCCTCGTTATCTAGAGATGGCGGACGGAGAAGAATTTTTTCCTCAGCTTTCTGTCTTCCGCAAACTTTCCAACAATGTGTCGTTTCGAACCAAGGATACAATTTGCAAGAATGCAATTTTCAGTTTAAAGCTTCGAAGTTTGAAGGGTTGCGGAAAGATCAACCGTAGTTGAAGATTAATAGCGCATCCGAGGGATGAATATTGATTCGCGAGGGTAAATAAAGCTCTCCTCCGCAAACTGACCCAGTTTTCGCCCGAGATTTCCGTGGTTAATCGAGCCCTTGACACGATGGTGGCAAGGATGCGGACGGTGTCTAAGGGGCGCGCAGTTTTCCAACGAGGGGAAAGGGGAGGGAAAGGAAATTTCGAGAGCGGTGAACACTATTTTAAACTATTTCGTAGTAATCGTAACAGCGCGCCACGTTCAATTCTCGAGGACGATAAATTTCCATCCACTTTCCATCCACGGATGGGAGAACAATTTGCCCTCCCCTCCCTCCTATTTTTACGACGAAAAATAAAGGTCGAAAAGATGTAAAGATGGTCGGATGGAGAATCTGGGAAAGAAAACTTTTCGGATTCAATTTTACTTGAGATCCCCGCCCTCGAACTTCTTCTTTCAACTCCGTTTGTCTCCGCTTTATCTGTCCGTCTGCTTTATTTAAACCAAGATTTAAATAAGGCGTGAGCCGTTCCCCCTTGTGTAATTGTGCGCCCATTGTGACGGTTCGTTTCGAACGAAAAAAAATCGGGGATCGAGAAAGTTTCGCTCGAAGCGAACGGCAAAGAAGAAGGGAAATGGAGAAAAAAAAAAAAATGGACGGAAGATAAAGGTAGGGGGGAGTAAAAGAAGATCGCGTGGATCGATTCTTGTTGGTCGATTGTTTCTTTTCGAGGGAGGGTGGAAAGCAATGAGTTATATAAAGCGCGAGAGTTTGCAGCGATGAAAGCGGCGGGCAACACGGGAAGCGTAGCAAACCGCTCGCTCGTTAAATAAAAGTTTGTAACGAGGTAGAAAATGAACGCGCGAAAAGATGGATTAGCGTGTTGAAAAAGCTAATGCGTTAACAAGCTGTTGCACACCTCTTCTCTCCCTCTCTCTCTCTCTCTCTCTCTCTCTCTCTCTCTTCTTTTCTTTCTTCTTCTTCTTCTTTGTTTTTCGTTCGATACGATTACGTGGATTACATCTCATTAATCTCTTCTCCCTTGAATAAACACGGGTTAGTCAATCTTCGTGATTTAAATGAAGTTCGATCGATTTCTTTTTTTCTTGTTTTAATTATTATCTCGTCCGACAATTAATTTTATAGTAATTTAAATTATATATATATATTTTATAATATATATATATATATAATTTAATTTTAAGAGACATTTCTTTTCTCGATCGAAGAAATGTCGTTTAATCCATTTCCATGGAAAATATATATACGCCAAAGAACACAGGTTAATTTATCACAGTTGAAACACAGTTAATCAGAAATTAGCCTCGTTATGAGGCTATCTAACCAATCCCTCGAACAGGCTTATCAATTTTAAACGCGCGTAAATGCCCGATAAACGGGGACTAATTTGTCCATAAAATGCTCGCGCAAATTACTTCCGCCCGCTAACCTCTCTCCACCATCGATCTAAATTGCAAATACAAAGGAATTTTAATAACCGGTCGTTCACTCGCCCAGCATTAATATAAATTAGAACGAAATTAACTCCGATGATACTCCGGTAATCCGTGGCGAAATTGCTTAACTTTTTCCTCCCTCTGTATAGATGTATAGATGATAGATAAATGGAAAATCCACGATAAGTAAATACGACGGTTCGACGGAAAATTTCATTCGCCGGGATTCGTTTAATTCGCCAGGCCGTCTCGTTTCCATTTTTTGCTCGCACGAGCTTCGAAATTGCTCGTTTCTTTATAAATTTAGTTGGATAAATCCGCTGATAAATACGTTCGTTGGAAAATTTGATTGATCAAAGGTGCACGAGAAATTGCCTAATTTTTTTTTTTTTTTTTATAAATGATAAATAAATGGAAAATCCACAATAAATACGAAAATTTGATTGTTCAAAGGTGTACGAATTTCAAAATTGCCGGATTTTTTTTATAAATAATGAATAAATGGAAAATCCACGATAAATACGTTCGACGGAAAATTTGATTGATCAAAGATGCACGAGCTTCAAAATATGCCTAATTTTTTTTTTTACAAATAAATGGAAAATAAATACGTTCAAAAATTTGATTGTTCAAAGGTATACGAATTTCAAAATTGCCGGATTTTTTTTTATAAATAATAAATAAATGAAAAATACGTTCGATGGAAAATTTGATTATCCAAAGCTACACGAGCTCTGAAATTTTTTTTTTTTTTTTATAAATAATAAATAAATGGAAAATCCACGATAAATACGATTCGATGGAAAATTTGATTATTCAAGGCTGCACGAGCTCCGATATTGCCTAGTTTTTTTTTTATAAATAATAAATAAATGAAAAATCCACGATAAATACGATTCGATGGAAAATTTGATCATTCGAAGTTGAACGAGTTTCAAAATTGCCTAATGTTTTTTTTTTTTTCAAAATGATAGATAAATGGAAAATAAATACATTGAATGGAAAATTTGATTGGAGAGGTTAATGGATCATCCAAAAGTGGACAAAGATCGTTAATGAGCGAGTACGCGTCCCGTTTCGATTTTTTATTCGCACGAGTTTCGAAATTGCCTAATTTTTCTCTCTTTTTTTTTTTTCTTTTTCCAAATGATAGGTAAATGGAAAATCCGCGATAAACACGGAATGGAAAACACGGAAAATTTGATTGGAATTGGTTAATGGATTATCGAAAGGGAGGGATCGTTAATGAG